CATTCGCGGCGTTCCTACATATATGTCTAATTATAATATATACACCGGCATTTCCAGTTCCAAAGACGTTGTGTCCGTGCGGCGCCTGATGCGACGCGGGCGTGATGATGACGGTAACCCCATCCTGATCCCCACCCAGACCATTGCCATCACCTTTTCCTGTCCTACTCTTCCTGACAGTGTAGATATAAATAGTTGGTTTTTCGAGGTAAGCCAGTATATTCCACCTGTTAGCCAATGCCTACGTTGTCTACGATATGGACATATTGGTAAATATTGCAAGAATGCACAGAGGTGCTCAATTTGTGGTGATAATCATCATTATAAGCAGTGTACCAAACCTATGAAAGATGCCGTCTGTGTTTTCTGTAAAGGAAACCATATTTCAATCTCATCAGAATGCCCCAAAAGAAAAGAGGAAATAGAAAAAGACAATGCTAAATTTAATAAAAAACTATATGCTGATGTTTTAAACAGTAAACACTTCCCTGACTTATCTACTAATAAACAAGAAAAACAAATACAAACTATATTACAATCAGATAATATACTTAATCTAATTATATCTACTATTCTCAAACTATATACCCAGAAATCATCTTCAGATAACTCATCTCCATTAACATCGGAGACTATTAAAACAGTATTACTTGACACATTTAATTCTAGTAAATGTAATACAGCTAGTAATAAATAATGGATCAGCTCAATATTGTACAATGGAATGCTCAGAGTCTACTAAGCCATAAACATGTCTTCACACAGTACTTATATCAAAATGATATACACATTGCTATTATTTCGGAAACCTGGTTACAATGCACAAAAACTATTAACATAAGAGGCTATTTAATAGAAAGGTTAGATATAGGTTCAAAACACAATGGTGTTGCTATTATAATCAGAGATTATCTTCACTATAATAAGTTACCAACTTATTATGACAACTCTTTACAAAATATTGCTATAAGACTACAATATAATAATGAAACAATATCTATAGTAAGTTTTTACAGTCCAACCTCTGCAATTCCCTATAACTTTAGTTGTACCCATTTAAATAATCTAATTAAATCTATACCTAAACCACTAATCTTCGCCGGCGACTTCAATGCACACCACACTATGTGGGGTTGTACATCAACAGATATTCGTGGTTCAACTCTTTTAGATGTTATTAATGATAACAATTTATGTATCTTAAATGATGGTACAGTAACTACTGTTGGCTCTCATAACTGGTGTCCTAATGCATTAGATTTAACATTAGTTTCACCAGAATTAGCACTAAGATGTAATTGGCATGTACATGATGACTCCCTATGTAGTTACCACTTTCCTGTTATTACAAAGGTATTATGTAATTCTGTAAATATGTATAATGTTGACAATAATAATGTTAGTGTAAATTATATAAAACCTAATTATAATACGGTAGACTGGAAAAAATATAAGCAATTAACTGATATTACATTAAGAGATGTAAATATTGACACAACTAATCCAGAAGGGTGTTATGATCAACTGTCCAAAATATTGCTTGATTGTGTATCTGAAGCAAATCTTTCTAAGAAATCATCTGTAGTATATCGACAATCATTTCCTAAACCAAAAAAGAAATTAAATCTTCCGTGGTGGAATGATGTATGCTCACAAGCTGTAACAAACTGTAAGACTGCATATATAGAGTTTAAACAAAATCCTTCTGAACAAAATTATATACTGTTTAAACAGAAACAAGCACAGAAAAAACTAACAATTAATAATGAAAGGCAAAAAGCATGGGTAAAATTATGTAATACTTTCAATCGTCAGACACCTTTATCATTGATTTGGACTAATATAAGAAAATTTAACAAATCATACAGACCTACTTTTAATTCAAATACTAACAATTGGATTCAGTCTTTTTTAGATAAGTACACCTCTAACACTCAATCTCCACCATTAGATTACTTTTCTGACCAATGTCTTGATAGTGAATTATTTTTTATGAAACCATTCACTTTAATAGAGTTACTAAGTGCCATAGAATCCCGCAGAGATACAGCTTTTGGTTTAGATCACATCTCATACAAAATGTTTAAAACTCTTAGTCCTTCCAGTCACAAAATAGTTTTGCAAATCTACAATTCACTTTGGGAAAAGTCAATTATTCCTAAATCATGGAAAGTCGATTGTTTGGTCCCCATTCTAAAGTCTGGCAAGGATAAAGATGACCATGACTCCTATAGACCTATAGCTCTAACATCATGTGCAGCAAAACTCTTTGAACAGTTGATCAAACAAAGACTAGATTACTTTATAGAACACAATAATTTATTGCCTTATAATCAGTTTGGCTTTAGGAGAGGTCGTTCTGCAGTTGAGAGCCTAAATCATTTATATTTAGACATACATAGTGCCTTTACAAATGGTAAGTTTCTTGTGTGTATCTTCTTTGATATCATAGGTGCCTTCAATAATGTTGACCATCATATTTTAGCAGAAGAATTGTGTTCTCTCCAGTTACCTGTGAAATTAGTGAAATGGATATTTAATTTTTTAAACAGTAGGGAAGTCTATGTTAAATTTCAAAATAATTTGTTTGGACCACAAATGTCTAATAAAGGAGTTTGCCAAGGTGGGATACTCAGCCCATTGTTATTTATTCTGTATATACATAAGTTAAATAGTATATTAGGAAATGATGTAAATAATTTGCAATATGCTGATGATCTCACAGTGTACTGTACTGGCACAAATATGTTTCAAGTGGAGAAAAAACTTAACTATGCATTACAAAAATTAAAATCATATTTTACATATCTGAAATTGGATATTAATTTAACTAAAACCAATGTTGTAGTATTCAGCAAAAAGAAAATTTTACTAACCAATATCATATATGATGGCAATCCACTTCCCGTAAGTAATGAGGCTAAGTTCCTCGGTGTCATATTCACTAAGAACTTATCATGGAATAGGCTGGCTTAGTAGACAAATCACTAAGAGCTTTTAACATCTTAAAGTCCTTAGCTCGGACATATTGGGGTGCTGATCCAAAAATCTTACTTATGTTGTATAAATCCATTGTCCGTTCTCATTTTGAATATAGCTTTCTATGCTACACATGTGACCATTTTCTTGTTCATAAATTAGAGAAGATTCAAAATAAAAATTTAAGACTTATCACAGGAGCAATGAATACAACTCCTATTATATCTATGCAAGTAGAGTGCAATATTTCTTCATTATTTTTAAGATTCAAATATTTAAAATTTAAATTCATCCTTAAAATCCACAGTATAAATAATCACCCTTTAGTAGATAAACTGATTCGTCTAAGTGAGTCTTTTTCATCATTAACATCTGTAAATCATTGTAAATTCCCATATATTCTTCATGATTTCTGTGAAATATCAGCATATATTTTAGAAACAAACATAAATAGAAATGAACACTGGGCTTGTTATAAAGGTTCCTATGAAGGGAAATTCCCACAATTAGAAATAAATATAAATAACAACTTACAAACAAAAGAAGCTGTATATGAAAAGTTATCAGAATGGCTAGGTTATGAAACAATTTATACAGATGGCTCAAAAAATGACTCTGGAGTATCAGCTGCTTATTACCACAAAAATGTTAAGTACGGCAAAGGACATAGACTGCCAGTTATTTTCAGCGTGTTTTCGGCTGAAGCCACTGCAATTCTGTTGGCTCTCAGATATGTTCAAATGGATATCATGTGCTCTAACAAAAGCAAGTTTTTAATAGTTTCCGATAGTATGTCCGTTCTCAAAGCACTTGATAATTTTAAACTACAGAATGCTAATTATATATTGTTCGAAATTAAAGAAGTTATTCAAAAATTATCTGACAACAATAAAATTGTAAAGTTTCTTTGGACTCCAGCACATGTTGGTGTGGCAGGCAATGAAAATGTTGACCATCTTGCCAGATTAACGAATTTACTGGGTGGCGATATTAAAAACATCTCTTGTCCTTGGCAAGATGTCGTACCGGAATACCGTAAAAAAATCTACGAGCAATGGACAGCAGAAAGAATACTTGTCACTACTACAAAAGGTGCATGGTATGCTGATATCAATAAAGAAGTTGGCAGAAAACCTTGGTTCGCTATATCCAATGACTACCTCCAGAGGAAATTCTACACTCAAATAAATAGATTGAGATTTGGACACTGTCGATTTAAAGCTCACTTACATCGTATGCATATGATAACATCTCCAGTATGCACCGAATGTTCAACTCAAGAAAACCAGACACTTGAACACATTTTTTTTTCATGCCCAACCTACAATATCCAGCGACTCGTTTTGATCCATCACCTCCTGAAAAGATACAAGACTATCCCGCCTTCCCTTCAGGATCTCTTAGCTTGCCCAGAAAACTTTGTACCGATCTATGACTATATTAGCTCCACTCTTGGAGAAATCTGATTTGACCCTCCCGGATATGTAAAATGATAACCCTGGACAAGACAAAGAAATTTAAAACTAAAGATCTGGCTATCAGCCTTTAAAAAAAAAAAAAAAACAAGACAAGATGGAATAAAATGAAAACAAAAAGAAAAGATTAGGCTTTGCCTTATAAAATAATATAACCCAAGATTTGGCTGTATGGCTTAGTTCCTTCGCCTGTCCCATGGACGAATTATAATACTACTTCAAACTTCAATCTTTCATTCAATCAATTACATATTTTCACGCAACTTATAATTTGTTAAATTATTTTAGTTCTTTTTTTGTTAATTCTTCATTATTTAAATATAGTACAAATCAACCGCCAGAGAGGTAAGTGTTTCACAAATTTTATGAAAGCCATGTCACCACCTTTCGTAGCCTGATTTATAATATATTAACCTACTTTTTCTTTCGGTACAGGGGCGTTCCTACTGAAACACAGAGGCCTCAGGCCTTGGCCTGCGGGCTCCATTTCTTATAACAACCTAAGACTTCAAAATTAAAAACCGTGTTTCACAACAATTTGTCAAAATGTCTCAATGGAACAGCTCATACGTATACGACAACCAATATCAGGGTACCGACTCATGGAACGGAGATCTGAACAGTCAGTATGTAAACCAAGCCTATTACCCCAACCAACAATATGAACAAAGTAACCAGCAATATGAACAAAGCAACCAACAATATGAACCAAGTAACCAACAATATGTTAGTTTCAATGAGTTCTTATCTCAAATGCAAAGTAATGGCATTCCTTCTACTAGTTCTAATGGTTATAATAGCGCACAGTACCAAAACTACAGTCAACATGATTACCAAAATATGCCTACAACCTCACAGAATACACAGGTAGATAATTATTATAAAACAAATCCTTCCAATTCTTCAAATGGTGCTCAATCATCTACTCATAATAAGTTGGAAAGCAAAGTATATAATGGAAGTAACTCGAATACTTACACAAATGATATAATTCTGAAATCAAACTTAACACCTACTGCCAATGAATTTGTGCCAAAGGGCTCTGGAAGCAAGCCATCTACTAGCAACAAAAACAATCCAGAAACTTTAAAATCTAATAATGGTGCTAGTAATAATGTAACTGAACAAAAAGCACAAAGTAGCAGAGGGAGTTCTTCAGATACAAATTGGAGAGAAAGGCCTCAAGCACTTCAACAGAATGGAGAGTCTAGTTATAAAAATGAAAACAGTAGTCGCTCACATGATAATTATAAATATACTGATAGTAATAGTAGACGAAGAGACTCTAAAAACCGTTACCAAGAGTCTAATAACTATGATTCTAATAGTAGGAATAACAGGAATCAATCAAAAGCTAAATCTAAAAACAGGGATGGGGATGCTCGAACATTTTATAATAGTGCAGTGGACAAAAACAACCATGAATATAGAAATAGTAGAGGGGAAACCTCTAATAGAAACCGCAACTGGGCTGGAAGTCAGAGAGTAAGGGCTTCGGAACGAGATGTTGTTGAGGATGAGCAGTATGCAAGCAGTTATTTAAATTATAGAGATGAAAAGGTAGACAAAGTTGCTAGACAAGATAAAGTATCCAGTCCAAAACCAAGAGGCAAACAAACAGAAAATGGTAAACATTTGAACAATCTTTTAAAATTATATTTAAGCTTAACTATATACTTGCTGGAAAGCAAACACATAGTAACCCGCAAAACCAAATTTGATCTTCGGAGAATGTCTTTTTGTTTTTTAAAAAGAAAACTTATAAATATCCATTATAACTATGGTATCCTTTATTTGATTAATATAGAAATAAAGAATATAAAGTTATCTCTTGAGATCAATCTTTGGTTACTATATTAATATGAATAAAACAATCTTTTTATTCTACAGTATACACAGAGATGACCCAACGTGAAAGACTGAGCGAACAATTAGATAAAGGCACCTTAGAGTGTTTGGTTTGTTGTGAGCGGGTGAAGCAGATAGATCCTGTGTGGTCTTGTAGCAACTGCTATCATGTGTTGCATCTACGTTGTATTAGAAAATGGGCCATGAGCAGTGTCGTTGGTAAGTCTTAGTTTTAAATATTGCAACATTTTCTCATAGGATTTTTTAAAGACATTTCATAGTATAATATTCCATGACAGAAGGAAAATGGCGCTGCCCCGCTTGTCAAAACACCAGTGAAGAGATTCCCATGGATTACCGCTGTATGTGTGGATACGTGCGGTCTCCAGAGTACCAGCGTGGTAATAGTGGCGCGCACACTTGCGGCAAGGCATGTCGACGACCACGTACATGCCCGCACCCATGCACGCTGCTGTGTCATCCTGGACCCTGCCCGCCCTGCCAGGCAACCATCACCAAGTATGCTACCTTTTACCTACTTATGTGCGAGTTTTTGATAAAAGTATACAAGGTATATAAAGTTTTACCAGTAAAGCATGCAGCCTGCTTACCTAAAGAGGCACTTAATGAAAGGAGTCTTGTATCAGAAAATATTCTAGAACAATAGTTCTTGTATTGCTGTTTATATTGAATTTAAAAGAAATTTGTAGTTAAATAACTTTTGGTAATGCTACATAATGAACTATTTAAGCTAACAATAGTTAATATTTTATAAAACTTAGCAATAAGCAATGTGTAAATATTGTACTTATATAATGTTTAGTCTTTTTTGAAATTGAAATGATTTGAACAGAGTTATTTTTCTTATTAGTAAGTTATTTATTTTATTATCCATTTTTTTATTTGTGCCTTTTACCTGGTATTTACATGTGAAATTTTAACAGGGTAGAATAAGAACTACTAATGTCTTGTGAATGTCCTTGCAGACATTGCGGTTGCGGTGCTGAGAGTCGCTCAGTGATGTGCAGCAGCAAACTGCCTCAAGTTTGCGGTCGCGTCTGTAATCGATTGCTGGATTGCGGCGTGCATACTTGTCAGAAGGAGTGCCACGAGGGTACCTGTGAAGATTGTACAGAGAATGTTACCCAAGGTTTATATTCATCTATGTTCTTTAATAATGGCTCGCGAAACAGTAGCCAAGTAATGACTACATAATTACTATTTTGAAAACAATCACCAATCTTTGTTTCTATGTAATTCATTATAAATTCTGAAAATGTGAATGAGCCAGATAGACAATGTTACAATATTGTTGTACCACATTTATAATCATTTAAAGTCCTGCCCTGCGATTCTGTAAAAATCGAGAAATTATACATTCAGATTTAAACTATTCATCAGGCAAGTTATGAATTTGTGGTTAGTGCTAATGTTCAATATTACAAAACTTATTTAAATATTTTTGAATGAAATTATAATTGCAAAAAAGTTATCACGTGACATTTTGTTAGTAGTTATTATACAAAAAATAGATATTGATTTTATAATCTAAATATGTGTTTAAAGACAATAAGTGATAACTTGCCAACCTAATTTACTTGTTTGCTAGTTTGCTGATGCATGCATGTTAATAAAAAAATAAGTACATATTTGAATAGGACACAGCATTTGTATGACACAATGAGCCTATAACAGTATTCTATAACACGCCTCCACTCTGGGTAATAACTAATGAATACCAATATTTCCACATACTGAAGTTACTTGACAAATTTTGCATATTTTAAACTGACTTCAAAAAATGAGGTTCTCAGTTTGACTTGTATGTTTGTGCGCGATTGTCTCACGTTTGGCTGAACCGATTTTGATACGGTTTCAGCATAGTATTTGTCAGACTTAGGATAAGGTTTTAGCTAACCCACTAAAAGAAATATAGATTCGCGCTTTAACACGGTTTTCAGGAAAGTATTTTTAGTGTTATCTATTATATAAAAAATATCAATATCACTAAGACGCATGAAATAAAAACTCTTTAAAAAGTCAACCAACATCTAACTTAAAAAATTGAAAATTAATACTTTACAGAAAACCTCCGCCTGATTGTAAAAGCAATTTCTTGAATAACTAGCTTTTGAGATAAGTATTATTTTTCACTTCTTAATGTTTGAAGGCAATTGAATTTTTTTAAAGATTTTATTTTCGTCAAGTGTAGAAATTATGTCGTATTAAATAATATAAACTTTTGTTCGTTCGCAGTATGCTACTGTCCCGCGGCGCAGAGTCGTTCAGTGCCTTGCACCCGTGAAACTGGCCTTGATAAACAGTGGTCTTGCGGCGAGGCCTGCTCCCGCGTGCTCTCGTGCGGCCACCACGTGTGCCGGTCCACGTGCCATCCGCCGCCGTGTCCACCGTGCCAGATGCTGCCGAACCTCGTGCCCACGTGCCCCTGCGGGAAAACAAAGTAAGTATTACTCGTACGGAGTGCATACACCTGAACACCTATTGGATTTCTGTGAAAACGATTCGTTGTTTTCGAAATGCTAATATGTCTTCAAATAAATGCCTGACTCTGTCTGATGCACAGATAATCTTCGCGGGTATAATTTTAACAAAATTATAAGATTGATTAGCAATTTTTCGATTTTTCTTATGAGGTCAAATAAAATTGGACCTCAGGTATTATGTTCATTGTCTTGGTTGTACAATAACATAGCTGAAAATGCTGCACTGAAGAAAAAATTGTGATATACAACTAATACTGTTCAGAGAATGCTCCAAATCTTATCCTCGCTGAGTGTGAGTGAGATGGAAACCTAACAAAACTGATATTCTAAATTGGTTTATTATTTTATTAAGAAACTCAACAGTTTTTTACAATCTACGTAAAACTTAAAAGTCCACTTGTCAAGTCTACATGATTGAAGCAAATATTGATTGTTGTTTACTGCGTTAACTTAATACCCATCAAGTTGTTTATAAGATTTAATCTCAATTTTCGAAATGGAAAACGAATTTATTCATACCAACATAAATGTTGTTTAAATATGACATGATCTACATCGCATTGACACAGTAACGCCACCCAACAGCTTACCCAGTAAACCTATATCTGTCAACATCCTCGGACAGCATGACAAAAAAAATTCATAGAGGACTCTCTTTTCCCTTTAAATACCTACAAGTTGTAAAATTATGAATAGTCAGTATGGAAAATACAATAATCTCTTTTTAGGAACCATGTCATTGATTTGAGTAAAAATAAAAACTGCATTTACACATAAAATTTGGGAATTGATCCGGGGATTTGATTTTCTACATAGATACTGCTTGTAACATGTTATGGTATAGTAACATTAACTACTTAAGACCTACAAGTAGTTAATGTTACTACGAAACATGATGTCCAAAATGAATAAATTACATTGTTTTTAATCACATCATATCTTTAATTCATTTTAGAAGGTGTTTGAAATGAGAACCATTTTTTTTTTCAATACCACACTCGACTCGTTTACGTGCTTACACAATCGCTATCTAAGTAGAAATAATTTACCGAAGTTTTATTTTCCACAAAATCCGGGTTCGATACCTGACCAGCGAAGTATTTTAATTATACCCTGTATACTTTACTCACTGATTTGACGTGCGCACTTGACGGCACCTTCAATGTCACCCATCAAGTAAAACTTGAAAAGTCGACTTGATCTTCTCCGGAATCCATAACACAGTTTTACAACTTGGCCAATTATCTACGAAGCAAAAAACAAACAATGAATTGTTCTTATGTTGTGTTTAGAAAATAGTGAACTTCCTTAGGAGGCACTTTGTGATACAATTTATTATTTGCAGATTACCAGAAGGATCTCGCAAGGCGTGCACAGATCCGATACCACTATGTGGCAACATCTGTGCCAAGCCACTGCCGTGTGGCCCGCCAGGTGACAGGCACTTCTGCAAGCAAGACTGTCATGAAGGTAACTGGCATTCTGTTTTGTGATATGACTAAATACCAAATTGCTATCACTTACTAGTCAGATAAGCAGTAAATTGTGTCCTAAATAATGAAAATTAAATTTTATTGAATAAAACAAACATTTAGATTACACTTCATTCCGAGGACCTTCAGATCTTTTGCAGGCTCCATAGTTACTAGTGATTATAAATTTATAATTTAGTAAAGGTACAAAGTTTGCTTGTTTTTATATTGGAGTAGTTAGATTGATTTTTGGTACTTGTATTGTAAATTCTCATTGAAAAAATAACATGGATAAGACATTTTTCCCGAATCTATTCCGAATATTGTTTATGTTAATAAATTACGGTTTTATCATTGAATTAATTCAGTTTACTCCAGCTTATAATATATTTCTTTGGACGAAAGGTATTGTATAACAATTGAAGTAAAAGCTTAAATATATGTTCTGATTTCGATGAATAAAATAAGATTTATTAGTAATAGGTTAAATATTAGTGGGGTAAAATTTTAATAGTTTCGAAATCATCTTTCAATTTTAAAGTAAGTTTCAAGACTATTAACTCTTGATATGAATCCTAAATAAAACTAATGAATCCTATTTTATTTTTCGAAATCTGAACCTATATTAAGCTTTTATTTCAATTGTTATACTTCCAAAGAAATATTTGATCTGCTGGAGTAACACTTAACTATTTCAAAGATAAAACAGTGACGTGTGTATGTTACAATGTTATAACGTTGAATAAATAAGGACTTTTGTAACGTGTTTATGTATGTCTCTGGATTTAAATAAGGGTTCTAGACACGTTTTACTATTCAATAGATATAATCGCAGCTTTACAATACATAAGAATCAACTAAAGCAGTGGAAACACAAATAATAAAGTGGTGTTTTCGCTCGGAGTTATAGTAAAATTCCCGCGCTCGAGCGTTAGCGTAAGCGCTCGACGGCGGTAAACGGAGCCCTCGTATTTAAAAAAAAAATAGTTCTTTGTGCTCACCACCGCGTTACACTTTTGATTTGATTTCAAACCCTATTACGACTACCAACAGGCGCATGTCCAGTGTGCCCTGATAAAACGCTAGTGCAGTGCCGTTGCGGACATTCCAGTCGCGAGGTGCCTTGCTCAGAATTACCGCAAACATACAACAACATCTTCTGTCAGAAGAAGTGTAATAAGGTAACAGGACACTAATGCCATTTTTAACATAGAAAACGGGAGAAGAAATGTGTGCAAGATAGCAATTATATAAGGTGCAATATTATTATATGCCAATTACCTATAATTTTGTATGAAACAATTGATTATTTTTTTATAATAAAAATATATCTGCAGTATGTAACTGTAATAGCTTAAATCATTGACAGTATGAAACAGTTGATTATATTTTGTGAATCCTTGAGTCATTAGAGGAAGCATTTTAGCATTGCATGCATTGAGCCAATGTAATTTCCTTATATCAACAGCAGTAGTTAATCTGTTTATCAAATGGTTTACATTTAATGAATAGTATACGTAGTGACTAGATTTTATCTTAATTTTAAGGGATTAAGTAATTGTAAACCCAAATAAGTAATAAGTTATAATAAAATTTAAAATACTTTTAAGCTTAATTATATTTAAAATGTAACTTTCGATTTATTACTTATTTGTGTTTGTATACATACTTAACAACTTAAAATTTAGTAAAAAAATCTACCTATCTACAAGAAAAGAATAACGACTAATTTTTGTTTATCTTTCCGTCAGGTAGATCATTGAAGAATATTAAACACGTATTTTTAAATTTTTTTCGTAATCAATTGAATTGTACATGTTGTTTGTACATTTCCTACAAAACTGTGACGTATCGAGCCCCCACTCCTCAACTTTAATATCATTAAAAAAATACGTATCTCATATTTTTCTTTTAACTGACTGATGGAATAAATAGAATTTCTGTTTTTTTTAACCCAGTCATCGTCCCTATTACGTGTTAAGCATATTTTTATTGTTTTTTTTTATATAGAAACTGTCGTGCGGCCGTCACCGCTGCCGCACGTCGTGCTGCGCGGCGTCGTCGCATCGCTGCGCGGTGGTGTGCGGGCGCACGCTCTCGTGTCAGACGCATCGCTGCGAGGAGTTCTGTCACACCGGACACTGTGCGCCGTGCCCCAGACTAGGTGCAGTACTGTACCATACTTACGTCACGGTATCGTTAGATTAGTCTGTGGGCGCAACGCTTTCGCGTCAGATATCATTAGATTTTTTTCATCATAGGTTAAGGAGGATAGGCCATGACCTTCCGCGCTGGCCCATTCGGATTTAAGGCTATCAACCACTGTAAATGCAGCCGGGACCGACGACTTAAAGTATCTTTCGAAGCACGGAGTAGCTCGAAATAGTTTTTTTTTTTTTTGTCACTCATCCTGTGACCGACTCTTGTGAAAGATGCTTAACAACAACGATCGCAGGGCGCGGCGCTTATCCAGTACACCAGCGAACTAGTCTTAGATAGATTTTTTGTATTTTTTGACTTTTTTTTTATTAATTTAACAAGAGTATCATCGCTTGAAATTATCAAATAACTCACTCTATAATCTAAAGGTCTTATTTTATCGTTAAAGTTTTTTTTTGTGTGTAATATAAATATTTCAATGATCTATTTGCATCGGTACAGGTTTCGTGGAGGTCCGTTGCGCGTGCGGAGAGCAAGCCCTCCTGCCGCCGGTGCCGTGCGGCGCGCGACCGCCCGCGTGCTCGGCCGACTGCCGAGTGAGGCGCCCCTGCCGCCACCCGCCCCACCACGCCTGCCATCAGGGCGACTGCCCGCCCTGCGTGGTACTCACCACAAAGCGGTGCCACGGCGGACACGAGGTATTAATGTTGTTTGGTTTGGTTTGATTCGATTCGATTTGATTTTATTTGCGTATACGAGGTATACCGACACATGTGACCGTACACACCCGCCCCACCAACCCTACCACCAAGACGACTTATTAGTTATTAAAATTATTGTAAATGTAAAAGAAATATTAATAAATTACATAAATATATAACTTCGTAAGAGAACCATTTCAGCCGATTACTAAATACAAGAGAAATGTACATTTTAAACCAGTTAAAAGAAAGCTACAATATTTACAATGGAAGAGGAAAGTGCCGAAAGGAAAGGGAAAGGGACTGAGACACGGGGCGAGGGGTCATGTGACGTGGCGTATAAAGGCTGTCATTGCAACATTGATATCCAAAATAAGCAATATATTATTTTGATTGCTTTGTGACTTAATATGTATCGTACAATATCCATTTTATTGAAATGTGATACGATTATCTTCTTCAAGGAACGAAAGACGATCCCGTGTTCCCAAGATGAATTTTCATGCGGTCTACCGTGCGGCAAACCGTTGCCTTGCGGTAAACACACTTGTATCAAGACATGCCACAAAGGGCCCTGCGATACGGGAAAGTGAGTAATTTGTCTTTACAACCCCCAATATTTTTACCAAATTAATTTATTTCCATATATTGAGATATATTATATTTTTTTGTCACGTAATATCATTTAATTTTATTATTTCGAATTTAAATACTAACAACTTTCCTAATAAAGTTCGAGGGAAAAAGACAAAACACTGCAAATCTATACAATGTTAACAAAAGGTGATAACAAAAGGAAAGGGCATTTTTTTTAAACATAGCTAATAAAAGTAGTAATGAAGCGACAGTCAGATACATTTATTATTAGTGAAATTACGTTTACTTATTGTAAAAATCATAATAGCGGTTGCTATTTTAGTCAACAACAGAATTTAACAATAACAGTTAAAAACAACATAAAAATAACAAAAATTTTGTGTGTTCTCAACACCAAATTCAGTAATTGTATTCGTAAACCAGTGTTTATTTGTTAATGGTACTGATTGTCGAACACGATTACGTCACCAAAATAGCGGCCATGCGCATTAGCAATTTGCGGGGTGTTAACACATCGTTCCCGCACCGTTGGCGCACCCCCAAATACTATATCGCATTCCCGGTGCGACACTGTCACTTATGCAAAAATTTAGTTTTTCAGGAGAAGAGTTTTAAACTCTGACACCTCACAAAACAAACAATGACTTTAGAAGATATAGATGAGATGAATCATACGGAAACTATGCGTACTACAAAAGTAACATTATCGCATCAAGTAATGCAATCAAAGGGGTGCTTTAGGACAATTATTACATATTTAACTAATTTTTGTATTTTTTGCAAAAGTGACAGTGTCGCACCGAGGGTGCAATATATGTATATAATTCTTGCGCTACTGACTGACTGACTGACAGACAGACAACGTACAGCCGAAACTACTGAGCGTAGAAAGATGTTACTACAAGTGTTAGGAGTTTCAAATTTTGCATGCGGGGTTTCTTTTTAGGACATAAATGCTCACTAAGACGGGATTTTACGAAATTCGACCTTTAAGGGTTACCTTCTTTAATTAGGGGATGACAGTTTTTATGGAATTTTCTCATTTCTGCACTTAAAACTAGACCGCGAGGTTGCGAGCAAAAGCTAGTACTTATACATTTTTATCAAGTAAAGTTGCATTATAAGGGCGTTACACGAGTGATATGTCGTGCGGTGTAGATGCACCCAGCCGTGTGTGGAGAAGCGTCCCAGCTGCGGGCACCCGTGCTCGGCGCCGTGCCACTCGTCCAGCGGCGCCGCGTGCCCGTCCGCGGCCGCGTGCCGGCGGCCCGTGCGCGCCACCTGCCCCTGCGGCCGCCGCGCGCTTGACCGCCCCTGCCAGGACAACGCGAGGGACCTAGCCAAGTATGTGCCCTACACATTAGTCGAGTTTTACGGTTATGGTTTTGGTTGTTATATATGTATGGTCATCTGTTGTCTTATAGATTCGAAACTGCTCATCGTAACTGGACAAATGAGATAATGAGAAGCTTCTTAGTTGTCCGCGTGCTATTGGCTATGTGACTTTACATTAAATAGGCAACAGCGCTCTCTAGAGAGCATAAAGTAAGAAACTAAAACAAAATATTTACAACCGTTCCGTGTAGGGTATCAAGTCCAAGGGCTTAATTAGCACATTTATAAACCTAATAAGCCCTAATTTTATTATTGATTTGACAAGAAACTCGACAAGGACTGCTTTTTTTTTCTCCATATAACCCATAACTTAATATCACATCATTTAATGAAATAAATGGACACAAGACTTTTACAGATATAAATTGATCTATAATGATTTTTTCCATATAAGGTTGCCTAGAAGAGATCACTTTTTAGCGATAAGGCCGCCATTTGCCCCGCTATATTTATACGTTTTCTGTTTGTTATGCAATAAAGTTTACTTATATTATTATTGACTTAAACAGTTACTTGAAATTTTCAAATAAGATTTTTTTTTAATAAATAGTAGTTGATTTTTAGACCTCATCGACCCCCAAAGTCAATTTTGGTTTATGTCAACAAATGGAAAATCGACTTCAACCCTAGAGGTAGTTATCGGCCATTTTAGAAATCAAGTACAACCGTAGTAATAAGTTAGAGAGTAATTGAGTAACAATCTTTAAAGTTATTATATTTGATAAATTTCGCATTCATTAGGGGTCATCCATAAATTACGTCACACGATTTTCATGATTTTTTTGCCCCTCCCCGTCCTAGTCACAGCTGGTCACATTTGTAAAACTTCCCCTTCCTAGTGTGATGTCACATATTTTGCAAGGTTTTAACACTTAGATTATAATATATTTTGAAATGTGAGGTCACGAAATTTAGGACCCTCCCACCCCCTTGTCACACAATGTCACACTTCGTCAACCCCTTCCCTCCCCCTTAACGTGTGACGTAATTTATGGATTGCCTCTAATGCTATACTGGAAAATATTCTTAACGAAGAATACTTAAAAAAACACTTTCTTCCTGTTATTCTCAGATAGGAACCCATCTCAGAGTACCAGGCACAAAGTAGATTTTTAAGTATTATTCATTAAGAATCTCTAAGTTTTTTTTTTACTTAATTGTCTATACATTTACTAACTGACAATAATGATATATACTATTTTTAATCTACAGAATAATAAGCGCCATAGCTGCAACAAAGATACAAGAGAATGGCACTGTTGATTTATCAGAGGTACAACGTCCAGTTAACATGTTGAAAACGTAAGTTGTACCCAAGTAAATGTAGGAAAATTACAACTATTGTATTCAAAATACTTCAGTTCACAGTAAGATCGCAAAAATGTCGATTGCATCCTTCTCCCTCCCTCACACATCATAAATATATACCAGAACTTCTGATACATATTAATGATATTACAAATAACAGTATTGTAAGTGTTTATTTTGATTTGAATAAGTCATAAATAATTTATTACGGAAAAAACACGCTTTCTGCCCTTAAAATTAAATCTAAATTTAAACTTTTAATATCTGCGAATACGCTGTCAGCTATATTCGTGACGTCACTCCGATATGTACACAAAACAGACGTATGTATAGAGTATATTATTAAATTTTATGTTTCGTTATATAAAACGAAAAAATGCCGGCGCCGTAAAAAATATAGTTTAGTTACCAAAATAAATGATGGAGTGGAGTAACACCTATAAACTCATTCATTTTCACCAGACTTTTAATGTCAGACCTTCCCAATGGATGGAATCGAATAGGCAGAACGGACCATGGCCCACCATGCATGCCCATTGCGGATTGGTGAGTGTTAACGACTGCAGACGAAACCGGGACCAACGGCTTAACGTGCCTTCCGAAGTACGGAGTTCGAGAAAAAAAAAATGTTTGGTCACCCATCCTACGACCGACCACTGCAAAAGTTAATATATTTAACCTTTTCTGTATCAGCCACACATTCGTTATAATCCGAGCACAAATAACTAGCGTTAATCTATGTGAAACATCTTGCTTTTGGTATTAGGCTGGAATGCGATGACGAATGTAGAGTGGAGCAACGCACCCGACAAATGGCACTGGCTCTTCAGATCCGCAACCCCGACGTGTCGTCAAAGTTAGCGCCCCGTTACAGCGACGGGTTACGTGCGACCGCCACTAAGGAACCCGCCTTCGCGCAACAAGTGCACGACAAACTCACCGAGCTCGTGCATCTAGCGAAAAAGGTTGGTTTTAATTATTATTATTGAATATATTATGGACTGTAGTTTTAATGTTTTTTGAAATAACGTGACACAATTTTTACTCCTGGTTTTCGCAAGGCTACTTATCCAGTTCCGCTAAAGGTGCTTCAGCAATCAACTACGATAATGCCTCAGGGATCGTTAGTTTGTCAAGACTTACCGCGGAAACCCAAGTGAAAACTCCCACACCACGTAGTCGATAGTCCAACCAAAGTAAACTTGCAGTAAACCAGTTTCACTTTACAATTTATTAATAATTAAATATAATTCACGACAAAAGCAATTAAAACGATATGAAAACGAGAGTACAAAAAATTCTAATCAACCTTCTCAATTCGAACAATAAAGGCAAATGTTGCCAGAGCGAACCTTGAAATTCACTACAATTTAGAAAATTTTTTCTTAATGAACAATGCTTAAACAATCCACTTTGTCTCATCCCAGAGTGCTAAAGACAAAGTAGATTTTTTGAACATTTTAATTAAGAATAGGTTTGTTTTATTCAATATATATCGGACCTCGTTTGTGGATTAATATGTAAATGTGTATATAGACTGTTGTATTTTGAAGATTTAAATAAAAATATCAATCAGACAGGAACAGTGCCGTCTAACGATCTGCAACTAAATAAACATCTAATGCGTAGTATTTTACACCGTATAATTACTAAAATAAGGCTCAGTATAATTTTTAATCATAATTTCATCGTTAGTTGGAACGTGGTAATACGCCGAAGACGTTAATAAAAAAAAATTGTTGACAGTCTAAACAGAAGACCCGTTCGCACTCGTTCCCGTCAATGAACTGGCAGAAGCGTCAGTTCATACACGAGCTGTGCGAACACTTCGGATGCGAGAGTGTCGCCTACGACGCGGAACCGAACCGAAACGTCGTCGCCACCGCTGACAGGGAAAAGGTATCTACATAATTATCATAACATATTATATATTAGTCCGAATTCAAGCCATTTGGTGTAGAAATTCTATAGATTCCATTTTTCGTATAAAAATACAAAACAAAATTTATTGAATATACGTGTCTCAGATATACCATTCTTAATACATTTCAAAACTGACTTTACTTATGCCACAAAACGTTATTACCAATTCAAGATTGAGCGGATACCGCTTTTTGAAGTGAATTCTGACACCTGAGTGAATTCGAATTCGGGTTTAGATTTTTACAGAATTTTTCCTCACACGCTTTTTGCGATCACGTGTCAAGTATAAAACATTTGTTTTTTTTTTTTTTCATAATTGATTTAAGCTATATTATAAATACGATAAGCATAAGAGTGTGATTATCGGTAATAGTATATTGAAAAATACCAAAAAATGTGTCACGTGACGAATATAAAAAAAAATCCTAAGCTATATTATAAATACAATTTAATGAGTTAATAAAAGTGTGACTATCGGTAATAGTATATAAAACAATACCAAAAAAAATGTATTTAGTTTCGTTTACCGTCTACACCCGTGTGGAACGTCTAATTTAACTAATTGACTGCGACATGTGTATTGTGTATTCTAGTCGTGGTTGCCGGCCATGAGTATACTGGAGGTGGTCTCGCGCGAGGCGGGCAAGCGTCGCGTGCCGGGCCCAGTGCTGCGGCCGCCCGCAGCCAACGCGCCCGCCTCCTCCGCTGCCGCCACGACCACTACCAAGTCGGTGCCCACTATATTATACAGGGTTAAACAACACACAGAACACAACCTCCTTGTGATAAAACTTAATACAGTAACACCCTGTTTTACGCGAATTGCACTGACTCTGTGTCAGTGCCCACGATATTTATACAGGGTTACTCGATAAACCACACCAAACAGATGCCTATGTGATGAAACTTAGATGAAATACAGTAATGCTTATTTGTTTATTGTTTTGCGTAATCAATAAATTACGGCAATACGTTGAGTTGAAATGTCGCATGATGGCACGCCTTCTACAAAACTGTGACGTCGTGAGCCAACTTTTAATGCTTATTATCTAAAACATTTCTTGTTAAATTGAAGCAAAAAAAATACGTGTCTAATATTTTTTTATTATCTGACTGGCGGACTGAATAGAATTTATTTTTTGTATAAAAGTACTTTAAAAGTTTTTATTTTAATTTAAATAAGCCACAAAAGAATGCTTCTGATAACCAAATCGAAAGTTAAACCATTTTTATACCCGCAAAAGCGTCCGCCATATTCATGACGTCACTTTAATATCATGAATATGACGCTTATTATAATATTTGAACTACCGAAATAACCGTATCTCAGATACAGATTCAAAAGTGCTATTAAGAAGTTTATTTGAATAAGGGTTATTTTGACTTGAATTGGCACAAAATTATTTCATTCATTTTTGGACAGCGTCTTCAACCTTATTAATGAAACTAAGCTTACCAACATATAAGAAATATTACCTACACTATGATTTTTTGAGCCCATTGTATTGTCTTATAGTTAATTGTAAATTCAATAGTATTTGATGTATCGTATCTTAGATCTGGTTGGGCTACGTTGACTTCAACGAACGCGTGGGCCGCCCGTCAATCAGCGCCCGCCACCGCTTCCGTCACCGCGTCCGCTTCCGCGCCCGCCTCTACACACCCACCCGTGGAGAAAATCGACTACTTCGACAACCCTCCTGACAACTAGTTCGGTCACTCCAAGCTAACACTCATCGGTAAATTCAATATGTAATAAATCTATATCCAATTAATTGTAATTTTATATTTAAAAAAAACTGCACAATCTGTAGTCAAACTGCATCAATGCGTGTTTCATAATAACATATTTTACTCACCATGAAATATATAATATTTACACCGTGATCACATAAATGAAAATATATTGTATATATATATATATATATATATATATATATATATATATATAGGATAGGTATTGCACAAACTGCGCCCTGTGGTTACACCCATGTACTAACGAGGAATAAAATATAGCAGTTACTAACTGTGTCCGTTTGGACACAGTACCTACATTATTAGTAAGTAAGTGAGTATTTAAAAAAATCATTCTATATAAACATATAGAATGATTTTTTTAAATCAATCCATTAGTAATTCAGTTTTAAAAGTAAATATCAAATATTTTCTGTTTATAAAGTTTGAACAGATGTAAGAATCGTTCTTTATAACATCTTCCTGCACTAGTCCCAGTTTATGTCGGGTCGATGTGCCCTATTCCGTTCACGGTCTATCCATCTTTTCTAGGCTCTACCTTTTACATCTTCCTCGATTTTCAGCTCTATCACCCTCTTATTAACATTCATTTCTTCTCTTCCTAAATATGTCCGTACTGCGTCAGGCCAGAAGCTTACCTTTCAGTTTTTCTGTTACTGGTGTCACTTTCAAATTCCCTCTTCCTTCCTCTTCCCGCATAAACTTTCATTACTTTATCCGTTCTCATTATTACACTTCTTCATCTCAATACATTCTCATATCATCTACATGTCATTTCCTTTTCACACATATCATCACAACTTTTAACCCATACATTACAGTAACCAATCCCTTCCAGTCCCTTCTTATGCACCCAGTTTGCTGTGTATAATTTATTGTGCGTAAATCGCCTTCAAATTGGGGTCATAACCAATAAGTTGTTGTATGTTATTCAGGCGAGTGTTTTTGTAATAAAATGGAGCACGAAGAAATACAGTCATCATAGTCGCTAGACGCTACCGATATAATTATTGAAGTCACTACAGTGTCTTAATTATATCTGAATAAGTTATATAATGATATTTATTTTTCTTTTTATTTCTAATTTATAAATATAAAACTCTACAGTTACAGTACAGTAGTAGTACAGTATTTATGGATACATTTTATAATGTTACCATATATAAATAAAATAATAAGAGTTTAAGACACACAGTACGATTTTGTGTGATAAAAACATTCAGAATTGATCGATGAGTGTTATGAAATAGGTAGTAGGTATCAGTTGTTTTTGTAAATGTTTGGTCATTTGTATAGTATAATAACACTGATTGCATATACGCTCTTGTTTTTCGAAAACTTGTATTGGTTTATGAGGATTTATTGTAAATAGGATAAAACATGAAGTAATTAATGTTCTTGTTTCCATAAGAGGCCGTTGATATTTTTATGGGATCACGATATCTTATTGCTAAAAATGTGTATTTAATTAATCAATAATTTATACAGGATATGGACCTTCCTTTTTTAAATAATTTTTTTATAGGAGTGTGGATTCTTTTTTTATCATACCACTAAATGTAAACGAAATTTGCAACAACTAATAAGTTTGCTGGCAAACGCACCTTCAAAATTTCCATTATAGAGGTATAGAAATATATTTACTTGTGACGACATAATCTAGCGAACGGTTAACATGGCTCGGGTAAACCTAATAAAAATGGCTTGTCCATTCTTAATTCCTTATTAGTCCTAGACCGGCTCGAAGGACCAAATTTTATGATTGATGATCTAAATTGGATTGGAAAGGGATATTGCTCGGAAATAAAAACGACAAATAACAAGACAAACGATATTATTCACGTTTAGGGCGATTGAATAAGGTAATCACAATTTTTTTTAATTTGCATTAGAACTTTTTCGAAAGCCAAAACCATTACTATTGAGTAAAATATACACATTCACATCTAAAAATAGATCTCAAAACTATCACTGGTCTCGACTGTAAAACTCCAAAATTTTATATATTACAAATACATATTTCGTCACTTCATTGGTATAAAAATTAGAGACACTAATATTTGTGTTATAACTAATGTGACCATACATCCTGCTTTGGGCGGGATTGTCCCGCTTTCAATAAAAATATACCACAACTATTAAGCCACATTTAAAACCATAATTTCTATTGAGCTTTTAAATGTGGCATTTTACATCGACATAGACATTTTTCTATTTTTATGCTAAATTCCGTAGGCATTTTATATGCTAAATTACGTAGGCATCCCGTTTCGACACGAAAAAAATGGTCACATTAGTTATAACCAAATAATTCCGGTAAACGTAGCAGATATGCATAAACAATTTGTGATCGCAATATGTATTGACTAAACTTCGATTATTTAATTTTTTGTCCAAAAATACCATGATTTTTATACAAGGAACAAAAATTTTTCAGTCTCGATCGATATTTTTGTAACTTTATTCATATTGCAGTTTTGTTTTGATGCAAGTTTTTGATGCCTAATTATCTAGTGAATATAAGTGATACCAAAACGCCCTGATCGAGTTTTAGCCACTACATGAAAGCATGTTTAGAAAATGAGCACACTTTTTCGACCTGTATATAGAATTATATTGTACCTTTAAGATATAAATGTCCCACACAAATAAAATAGAAGCAGCCTTTATAAATGTGTTCATTTTGATCAATTATTGAGTATTAAGTTGTACGCCATAAAAATTAGCAAAACTATCAACACATATATCAAAATATTAGTAGATATGACTTTGTGGCCATTGGGGCATCTATTTATCCTATAATCCGTCTAGTTTTAACTATATGTTACTAATGGAACAAAAGACTTAGTATGTGGTCATATAACGAATCGAAATTTCAAACAGTAAATGTAATTACCCAAATCCATATTTATATTTCACGTTCGATATCGCGAGTTTGGATTCTTGACTGTGATGCGATATCGTATAACTTCTAAAATTCAATTTAATTGTAATTCTACGAGAAGTCCTTAATTCTATTTCCTATAATTATTATCCGGTTAGTTTAACAATCTGGATTTTCTTCTGGGTACATACTATTAAATAATGGAACTAAATTATAAATCCATATTATTCTATAAAATAGAATCATAACAATTTGTGCTGTTCTGTTATAGTAAGCTCAATAGTTAGAGCTAGACAGAGAAATAGGTTATTTATTAATAAAACTAAGAACTTTTAGGTGAGGGGATGCATACTTATGAAATATCTATCAACGTAAAACAATGTTAAAAATAATTAATATTGTAACGGGCTTAAATTCGTTGTTGTAAGGCGACACGCATTAAAGTGTTACGTATTTGTTAATGCTTTTTTTTTATTTATATTTCTTCTCTACCTACGTATAATTGAATGTACACACCGTATCACGTCAGGTTATTACAATATGTTGAATTTTTCACAACCTACTTTCGACTCTAATTCATTGAAGGTTTAGTATTAAGTAAATAAATTCGACAGGTCTGCCCTGCGATTCTCTTAAAACCCAAACCCGAATTTGAATTCACTCAGGTGACTGAAGTCACATCAAAAAGCGGCATTCGTTCAATCTAAAATTGATAATAACGTTTCTTGGCATAAGTGAAGTGAGTTACGAAATAACATAGGAATAAAATATTTGAACCACGTATAATCAATCAATTTGTTTTGTATTTTTTATACAAAAAATGGAATCAATAGAATTTCTTCATTAAGGACGTGAATTCGAATTCGGGTCTGGATTTTCACAGAATCGGAGGGCTGTATAACCTGACGTGCTGTTGACTGTACGTAAGTACCACAAATATCGAATTTTCAATTTATCAATCAATATTCTTCTAAATATACCTAACAATAAACTGATTGGTTTTGAAAATTAAGAAAAAAGGATCTTTTTAATTAATGGCTTATCTACACAATTCTGCCAATGTCAAGTAAATAAATTTAATTTTTACATGTAAAATGAAATGAATGAAAGATGGCGATGATTTTTCGAAGAAAGGATCGTTCGGATTCGACGGAGCGAAAGCGAACCGTCTTGATATGCTCTATGAATCTTCAGTCATATGTGCCGATCCTTAGTCGAGCAAATAAGAATCCTCTTGTCTATGGTCTCGGAAGAAATTTGTAATTTTATTTACCATAATTATGCAATCATAATATCAGAGATATAACGAATGCAGCAATTAATCCCAAATGACATTAATCAGTTCATTAGTTCATACACTTATCTTCAGTAGCCATGGCAAAAACGGTCTGTACCTAAACAGATTGAAACTTTTGTATCTGTGGGTGAATAGTACAGCGTTCCGGTTCAATGATTTACGTTGTGTTTGGATCACCAAGTTCATTGAAATATCAGATGCGGTATTTTTTTATGGTTAAACGTAAATATCAAACTTATTTTCTATCCCGTTCCCGTTTAAATATCGTATATATAATACGCACGAAGCATGCAAGATAAACGGTGTGATCGGAATCTTAAGCATTCGAATGTGACGATACGAAAATTCATACTCAAAATCTATATTCATACAAACCAAAGCATATAAAAAAGCTTCGAACAACTGTCGGGATTCCTACGCCGTTTCTAATAAAGCGCCATTACGGATATTAATTAAATAAAAATCACTATTCGTAATAAGGTTTCGGAAAAATGTCGTTTAGGTACAGAGAAACGGGGTATGTAGGCCCTCAAATATGTAATAACGAGCTCTGCCTATAAAGATAAAGAAAAACTTATTGCTCAACACACGACAAAAGCTGAAATAACAACAAAAATATTTCATATTAAGCAGTCTTATAGATTAAATTCTTCTTGCTTCTTGGCAACTTAAACGGTGGCACGTCTTTAATATTTAAAGAAAATCCAATTATTTTGTTATTATTTTATTAAAACTGTCACAAATTTTTACATTCATCTGTATCATGGACCAATAATTCTGCATCTTTTAATAATTTATCAATGTACTGACCAATTTTCAACATAGGATTGATTACCTTTTGGTGACAAGAACATTGGCAATTTGAAACAGAATTTTGGTTTGAGAAACGTGGCCAAATAGTACTCGAAGAACTATCTTGCTCTGTGTAATATGATGAAAACTTGCCGATGCTCGGACACGGCTCGCTAGCTCTGTACCTTTTATTATTTTTGTACCCCAAAGTATATTTTGACAACTTGCGCCAGTACTCATCCGAATAATGCGTCCTTTGCGTTTTGGTATGTGGATTGTGAATATTATGTTTTGACTTTATCTGAAACATACATTAAGTGGTTAAGTATTATAAAATCTTTACGGTAGTTACATACTACACAACACATAGTTCTATGGATAGCCATGCATATAGTGTTAAGAAGAGACTGTACAAGACAATAATACTTTTATTCGCACGTAACAAAATACATATGGATAAATACCCTATTTTTAATACCCTAGGTACATACCCTATTTTTTATTTTATTATGTACTGGCATTATTTTTCTTTTTGTACTTTTGTAATTGGTTGTGCAGTCGTGATTTTCCTCGGCGTCAGTAGCATAATTTATTGGAGAAACGTAGGGCTGCAAAATATGACCTACAATTAAATTATTTGTGAAATAAACCGTCTCAGGTCGGACTCGAACTGATGACCTGTCAGGCGAGTGTTATCCGACTGAGCTACTTATTTTGCATGTTTCCAAAATGTCTTTCGTGCTTGATTTTAACTCTACCAAAATGCTTTAAGCTTTAAAATCTAGGGACAGGTACGCCTAAAGCATTTTGAAGTTATTTGAGATAATAATTAATAGTAGTAAGTTAATAAAGTCGTTTTTACAAAATTAAATATGCTTCCTCAATAAAATGATAGGTACCTACCATAATATTTACGGAGCACTCTTACACCCGATTTCAGAACTGACAATTAAAAGTTACGAATGTCTCAGATTTTACTTATATAGGTTTTCGTTCCTGACTTTTTTTTTTAAATGATTAGGCCCCGTACTCTCGGACGCAATCGTCACCGATCGACGTTGCAATGAGGAAGTATTAAAAAAGAAAGCAATAAAAGGCGGCTGATCTAAATGGCGGCTCTAGCAAAAGTTAATTTTTGCAGAAAACGAATAGATAAAGATAGGTAGTCATTTCCGTTCCTTTTCTGAAATTCGCAAAGTTTGAAACTTAGATATCAATACAAATACGAAAAAGTATGAGTTGTTTATTGAGTTTTGAAAACTAATTTACTTTTATACATTAAAGAAAACCGGAAAGGTTGTCATGGAAAAATCAAAAAGTAACGTAGCGACATCTAGTTTGATTTCGGGAACTAATGTTTTTTTAAACACTTCCTCGTTGTACCGCTCCGTACTCTTGATTGGTTCACTAGCATGTGCTAACATTGTGTTCGAGAGTAAGGGGGTTGATGCGTTGATACTGTCAACTGGACAGCGGTTTGATAAAACTAAGACTTTTTGGCTTGTGAAATGTAAAAAACTTAAGTTATTAAGAATAATCAGTTAAGCTTTTATACTTTTCTCAATTCTGAAACCGGCTAATAGTGCGCGCGGAAAGGCGCTGCGGGCTTACCTCCCCTATATAAGGGGGCGTCCATAAATTACGTGAGGTGTTTTTTCAAATTTTCTGACCCTCCCTCCCCCCCTGGTGAGATGTCGTGAGATTTTATTCAATCCCCTCCCCCATCCCCAAATCTCACGTGAGATTTTTCAAAATGTGGATTTCTTATTTAAACACGTTGGATTTTTTTAATAAAAAGAAAAAAAAATTCGCTACGTATTTTTATTTACGACTAGTTAGTAATCAATATTCCTGAGAGCTACAAGTGTAATAAAGATTAAACAATAGAATACTTAATTCGTAACTACTGCGATTAAAAAAGGAATATATACTCTAATTCAGTCCATGGAGAATCATGCACGGTCTCGAGAGAGACTATTGGAACCAGCATGTCCATATGATTTTCAGTAAAATCATCTGCTCCTTCAACTTCGTTCTGATCTAGCCACTCTAAGCCGTTGGCACTTGCGCACAGTAACTCATTAGCTCGTTTTGTGACAATCCGTGCGGGTCGTACTTTGCGCAATATACGCGCTTACTTAGCTGGTGCAATGTGGGCTGCACGCCTGTGCTCTGCAGCACATGTAAAAGAAATGACCGCGCTAATATTTTGTAGATATGATTTTCTCGCATTGTACTCACAGAATTTCACTGTTTCATTTTTTCTAAATGCATCATGTACACTTGGGCTAATAGAGTTTATCATAAAAGAAGTATTTTCGTAGAAAACTATATTGAAGGCATTTTCAGCGGTTGAATAAATGCTAAAGTAGACCGAACTTTTCTCTCAGTAGCTTCCCTGAGAAGCCGTTCAATCTCATGTTGAATGTGATGTATTAAATCGTCTTTCTTCGGGAATTTTTCCTTCGCTGTATTCCATAATTTTATCACATCGTTCTGACAGGACTTCTTCGTCTTATAGACGTATCTTTGGACGGATGCCTTAGAAAACGGTCGTGAAGAACTCATTTTAACTTAATAAGATCATGCACTGAGTCGAGTAAAACATTTGCAAGAATAAACAAAGCAGGTTGGAACCTGTCCGTGTGTCGCTCTCAGCTCGTACGCTCTCATTCATCGAGTCACACGTTCAGCTGACAGTGGCGCGAAAACAAAGGACGGGCTACATTGTACCGTAAATTCAAATTAAATTGAGCTATTTGGTATAAAACGAGTTTTGGTTTGACAATCAGGAGTGATGTATAATGTCAAAGTACGAATGAAATTATTAGTGAATGATCTTAACCTTAGACTTGTCACTCTATGAGGGATTCCCCGCACCGAGCCTTATTTTAAAAATTGCGTGATATTTGCCGAGACCCCCCCTCTCTCCAACGTGAGATAAGATGAGATTTGACTCGACTCCCTCCCCCCCTTAAACATCTCACGTAATTCATGGACGCCCCCTAACTAGCTAATGGGGTAAATTCAAAATAATCAAACTCGACAAAATCCTAATCTTTGTTTAGGGATGTCGATGTTACAAAAAAAAGTTAAGGTCGATGGAAGAATAGCGAAAACTAATCGACGTCCAAACATCTATGTGTATCGTTATTCGTTGTAGTTTTTTACAGCTCAACGCGCACCAAGGAGGTACATAAAGAGGCAAAGATTACGTAATTATTCCTTTACTTTATAGGTATGCCACCGGTAATGTGCTCATTTAGTTTGTTATAAATATTGTGGTTTATTATTTATTGTTCAAATTAGATAGTGCGTTTAAATAGATTTCTTTTATTTAGAATTTTCATGATGATCCATATAAAACGATGCTCTAAATAAAATAAAACGACAAATATCACAGCCGCTTTCAAACATAACTCAAATTCGTAACATAACTAGGGGTAATTAGTAGTTTTATCTGTCGTATACTCACACATACAACTAAGTCCACGTCGTAAGACATCACAAGCCAAGACAGCAGTCAGAAACTGTGACCCATAATCGTAATAACAGTTACCTGAGGGAATAATATCAGGCAATTTTTAGAGCTAATTAAGCCTGTCTTAGCTTAGGTTTAACACACGTTTCAAGATGTCGGCCATTTCAGAGTTCTTGGGTTCGATTCCCGATCGAGTCAATATAGTTAATCAATTTTTGTATTTTGTTTTAGGTTTGAATCTTATGGTACCTTCATTGTTTCTGATACTCCAAAATAAATACTTTGTGATGTTTTCTAATGAAATAAAACTTAGGTTATATTATAAGGTTAAAAAAATCCACTTAATCCCTGACACCACGTCTCAGGTTGCCAAGGACCAAGTGGATTTTTTAAGCATTTTTCATTAATAATATTTTTCGGTATAGCACTGTGAATGCGAAATTAATCTCCTAAGTTTAATCTATCTCCATATAAAATTTTATCAAAACTTGTGTTGACCCAGTTGAACGGCTTACGTAAGAAACGTAACAAATAGACCAAGTTACTTCTACATACTAATTAGTGCTTACCATGATTAAGCTGTATCACTTGGTAAGCAAATGATACAAATTTAGACCACATATTGCAAACATTAATGTCGTCAGAATTGTCGTTGCAGTTGGCCTCATGTTTTAATTCGAGTTCATCAAGAGAATTAGTGCTATCCACTTCTTGAATTTTATAATTACCACATGTTTTAGTGAAAGTCCCTAGATTATTGGGCTCTTGTTGGTTGATATCATTGGCAATGTTTTTCTGGGCAATTAAAAGCTTTTGTGATAAATCGGCAGCTAAATCATCACTAGATTTGCAGTTTTCTACTACACTATTGACACTTTCTGCATAACTTTGATCATCTTTTGTACCATCTAAACTTTTGAATTCATCTAAATAACGTTTCCCTATCTGCGAATCGTCTTGGCTAAATGTTTCGTCTAAGAAAGAGTCATGCTCTGAATCTTTGATCGATCCATCGTCTTGGAACTCGCAAAAGCTTTCGAAGAAGTCATCTGAACTAGCACTTAAAGCTCCTTTGTCGCTCGTACTACCCTGCATTTGACATTCACTCTTGCATGAGAGGTCACACTGATCGTATAACTTTCGTCGAGTTCGTCTCTCTTGTAGTTCTTGAAATAAGATTTTATCCTGATACGATCGCTCTTTAAGTTTTTGGGCAGCATCCAACTGATTTCTCTCCAAAGATTTGAACTGTTCGTATAAGTACCACGATCGGACACGATGAGATTTTTTTTCTTTTGATTCTACGTCTACAATGTCGTTTATAAACATTGCATAAATTTGTAATGATAATAGTGGATACACTCGTTACTTGAATAAATATACCTACTAAGCGGCTTACCAATAAAATCCAATAAATCCATTCAACGGTTTACACTTAAGTAGAATACAGGATAAAAAATAAAATTTTCTAGTTTTTTTAAATATTATTGCCAAACTTTACATAATGGTTTACTAAATTTTCTAAATCATTTATCCTCGGGACTTCACAATCCGTGACAAAATTGAAATAAATAACAAATGTTACTTTAATGGTTGCGTATAAAAAAAGTAGCTGTCAATTTTTTAACAATTTCTCGACAGAGGACGACTAAAAAGATTCCGTATGAAAAAAGGACCATAAACGTTTTTGCCTGCCAGACAGTCATATTATTTTTAAATAATTACATAGTAGTGAATGAATGAATAATACCCACATACCATTAGAATAATAACTTTGTAATTAGCACATACCCACAAATAAAGACAAACTTAAATATCTAAACTTCTTTATAATACCTTACAAACAACAATGTCTATTGATCTAAACTTGCAACCATTCACGTACAGGTAAGTTCGTTTAATCATTAATTAATAAAAATCTGTATTTAATAACACAATATAGATGTTGAGATGATTGAGGAAATATTAATAAACAATACAAACTAACATTTACTCTTGAATAATTTATTTCTTTGTAATTGTAATTGTAATTATAATTAACAAAGAAGAAGTAGAAGCATGTCGTGTACTATCAGAAGAAAAGATGGACACGTTAATTGCACTATTATCATGTTTCACCAACTATTCTACACATTTTGGATGGTCACCATTAGTTTCGCTATCGATTTCCCAATGTAAGGAATCAATAACCGCCCATCTGGACTTTAAAAGCAAGAGAGCGTCTTCATATTCCCACTTATCAGAGAGTTCATCGATATTATTATAATATTAGCGACAGTACGATCGAATGCTTCAAAATTGCTTATTTGTTTTCGCAGCATCTCATCCAACTTACTGTTGGTTCCTTCAGCTTTTCTCGATGGAGCGACTAGCGAGTGAACTTGGTTCGATGGTATTTGTGATGGTGTTGCTGGTTTCAATAATGGTGTGGATGGCTACTGGTTTCTTGTTTGTAATTCGGTATAGTTTGTTTAGCCTGGTTATAAAATGTTCCTGTACGCTTATATTTGTTACCCGTAAAATAAGCAGTTTCTTTATCGTGATACTCACATAATTCTAAATGGTTCTTAAGAAATTCATGCCAGTATGAGTCTTAGGTCTCTATAGCTTCCTTTGGACTACTCCTAATGTAGTCTGGTGATTTTCTATCTTCACTATCATTCTTAAAGTTTCTAAGAAGTTGATCCATGCCTTGCATCACGCGAACGCGGCCGGCACATTCGCGGTCAATGTACGTTTCGTACAGTAATAATATACCTAATTGAGTATTGTTAAAATATTGTAGTGTATATTATGCATTATAAGCGCCGCGGTCCACAATCATTGTTAAGCAACTTTAACGAGGGTCGGTCACGCGATGGGTGACCAAAAAATTATTATCTCGAGCTACTCCATGCTTTGGAAGGTACGTAAAGTCATTGGTCCCGGCTGCTTTTGCAGTCGTTAATACCCTCCATTGGGCCATCTTGGAAGGTCATGGCCCAGTCTTTAAGCCATCCATAAGGAAGGCCTGAGCTCCTGCAGTGGGGAAGTAAAAGGGCTGATGATGATGATTATGGGTTATTTTTACTTTATTTTTATATTAGGTGTATTTTAGAAGTATTTAGAGCGTCTAGGATAACTTTGTATAAAAACAAAGTTAAATATATACAAACAATATGAATCTATCAAATATGGTTTTCTGATAAAGAAAATCTAGAATAGGCCTACAAAAACAAAAAAAAAAGTTCTGTTTTTCAAAAACTGTTGCCTGTTACAATGCATAATTATTAGATATTTATCGTATAATTGTCATGATAATACGAACTCTGATTTTAGTCGATCGATATTTTACAAAAGTTATTTTGGTGGATTTTGGGGTTATGCTCATATGCTTAGTAGGGGTTTAGTTTACGGATCCTACTTATATTATAAAGACGAAAATTTGTTTGTTTTTTACTTGGTTTGGATGTTTGTTACTTCTTCACGCAAAAACTACCTAAACGGATTTTGATAAAATTTGGTATACAGGCAATTCTTAGTGTGGATTACTGTATAGGCCACATTTTTCCCACTTTTATCCCACTTAAAGGTCCTCTAGGGATAGAAGTAAGTACCTCCAAGGGCGCCTATTTTTGTGAACGCTGCTTAAATGGTAAGAGATATACGAAAGCCTTCTAAAGAAAAGTAGGCTTGCCGTTTTTTACCCTATGGGTATGGAACTCTAAAACGAATCTCCTTGCAAAGTCTTCGCTAAAGCATACTATTGCATTTCCATCGCAGAAGTAAATAATATCGAGGTTGCAATTTTATATGACTATTCATATTTTTTGTATAGTTTTTCTCCTCAACAAAGCTTGAATTTGTCATGATAGGGATATTTTAGAGTGACGACCACCATAAAAAATGGGAGAACTACATCACCTAAATTATCTTGGTGTGGTGGTCGTCACTCGAAAATATATCCCTATTATGACAAATTCAAGCTTTGTTGAGGAGGAACAAAGCTTGAATTTGACATAACTACTGATCTAATTTCATCAGTTTTAATTTCATATTTTGAGGATATATTCTTTCAAACAATTAAGTTAATAATTCACTTTCGTGCCGGTATTTTGCCACGTGGTGCCAGGTACTGAGATACTTCTCTTTCTCTCTATCAAGAAAAATCTTTCATTATACTTCGGACCGGATAAATATTTAATAAAACAACGTTTGGTAATATATTAAAAATATATTTCTTACTGACAGAACACGCGAAAGAACAACACACAAAAGAAACACTAATCCTTGGACGAACTCAAAGCAACACGGTTTATGAAATTCTACTCAAATAATTGATAAGCATTCAATTTACGATACTAAGTTCGAATTGAAAATCTACTCAAGAATTCATAAGATAGACGTGTGTGCCCGTGACTTTTGTTTGATCCAACAATTAATAGCAAACGTGATAATTAAAGCAACATCCAGCGAACGTGGAACAAAAATCATCAGTGCACATGCCTTTACACAAAAAATCATACATACAAGACAAAAACAACAAAATGTGACCGTTTTAGCGACACGATGATGACAAGATTAATAAAAGAAGATGGCGCCACCGGCAGGCTGCCTGCTATAACCAGGGTTGGTCTGCGAAGAGTGGACTCCGGAGTTCATGAGTTTCACACTGAATGGAGAACGATGTTCCTTGATACCACCGCGCCTCAGTGGATGACCCTGATAATAATAAGAAAAATGCTTAAAAAATCTACCTTGCACTCGTGAGTTGACCTACAGACCTACCTATATCTACTTACCATCTACATGATTATTTTGAAGTCGGTTTCCTTTTTTTTAATTGTATTTTTATTACAATACGCTTATACTCACTGTTTTCCGTATACACGAGTCAAGCCAAGCGTATATTAATCCTCATCGAACGGAGCGAAAGAAACTAATTAAAATTTCTTATGTTCGCCTCCTGCAGCTCGCTTTGATATGGTACCAACATAAAGGTCGGCCAATTTTATATATATTTTTAGGTAAAAAAAATTAAAGCATATAGGTATCCGTTACAATCTGAACTTTATTTAAATAACGTAACATATTACTCACTGTAAATATTTGATCTGGTGAAGGTTTATCTACAGTATTCCTTATTCGCCGCCATGTCTCACACCCTATTGTCTCGGGCTGTAAATGTAAGTCCTCCTTATCGGCAAACAGCTCCGTAGACTGATTGTAGGTGGTCGTTAGTGTCAGATCTAAGCTGTCATTGGGTAAGCTGAAACATAAATCAACCTTAGTACGTCGCCTCTGTGTCTGTCTAACAAACGATTCAATTGCCACTGTAATTTTCGCCGTCAAGAACGTATCCAACGTTTTGGACACGATCAATCAATCAAAATTTATTTATTCAGTTTAGGCTTTTACAGAGCACTTATGAAAACTTCGTAAAAATACGTCGGGAGACCTTGTATTGAGAAGAACCGGCAAGAAACTCAGCAAGAGCTGTTTTTTCTCCCTGTTTAATTCTAATATTAGAAAGTTAATACAATAAAGTTAAAATATCTAACACCATGCCTTTTTGTCATTTAGATATTCCTTAATGGTATAATATCCTTTACTTTGTAGACAATTTTTAATATGACTTTTAAAATATAATGCCATAGGACATGATACTGTAAAAATAACTAAAGTACACTGTCCGGGCAGTTCCTATATCGGTAATTTGTCTTATTTTTCGAATGGCATATGCAGCCGAGCTGAGTTTACTAGCTCATAGAAATATGCGGGTTCCATTGCAGTTTTGAATCCAGTGTTACGCCCAAAAATTTTGTTAAACTTACTAACTCTAAATGTTCGTTGTTGAGTTTAATTTCAGTTAGTTCTACTTTTACATTAGGTAAAGTGAATTTTACACATTTGGTTTTTCAGCATTCAATTGAAGATTATTAACTGTGAACCAACCAACACTCGTGAGAGAATTGTTTACATCGTCAAAATTATATTTGTTTCTGTTAATGTTAAATATCAATGAGGTGTCATCTGCAAATAAAACGATCTCACATAGGTTTTTAACAAAAAATGGTAAATCATTTATAGGGAACATATCTAGTACTGTTTGTGTTCTGGAACTAAGATACGACAGCATTAGTTTTTGAGCAGCACCTTTAATACCGTAGGAATTCAATTTAAACGACAGTGTCTGATGCTCAACACAATCGAAGGCTTATGACAGATCGCAAAAAACTCCAAGAGCGTTTTGCGATCCCTCCCATGCTTTAAATATATGCTTTAGTAGCGCAACACCCGCATCTGTTGTCGAACGACCCTTGGTAAAACGATGGGCATGACCGCAATCACAGTACAAATATATAAGTAGGCGCACTCGAGACCCGAGCGAGAGAATAATAGCCTAAACATGTAGGGCTGTCACTTATAGGTTATTCAATCGTCAGAAATGCATGGTCAATAAATCTCTAAAATATAGTTTCCCCCGGTATGGTAAGCATCCGGAAACTATAATATAACTTTTTATTTATTTATTTTTTATATATAGACCAGGAGCTTTTCATACCTACATCATGTCATCAATTTAGTGTTTTGTAAAATTAAAACGTGGTTTTAATTAATTTATGTAATTATTCATTTTTTCCAAATAATCAGGCTACGAACAAAATAAAATAATGCCGATCTTAATTTTTAATAATCATGTGCTTTATATTAATGGCCAATATTTTTTTATATTACATTGTCTAATACGCAAATATACAATTCAATATCAATTTCAATTTGGCGGTATTCGGGCATAGAGATTTAATAAATTAAACTACAAATTGATATCTGGTAAACGAAATTTTGAGTAGAAATAATTCATAAACACTTTCGATGGCTACACAAAATTATAATTACTTATGATATTATCATTACCCGGATACCTAAAGAACGAAATACCATATACTTGATTTATAAAAATGTGAATTACCATATACTCGATTTAGAAATGCATATACAATATTTTGGATAAGTTATCAAAGCCATCTTGCTTACGTCCAGAAATTTTATAACGGCGGCAATACAGCGACGCGGAACATATACAAACACGGTATACTAGCCACGACTGGCGACTGGCACAACTCGCCAACTCGCCGAGTTGCCACTCGTGCCTTGAACTTCTATAACTTCGATAATATTGTAAGTGTGTGCGTGCGACGACGCATACGCACGGGCGCGCAAACATACAAACCATTTTCGGTGCGTATGTATGAAGAGCACTTACTCTTATTATCTGCCACAACCCTAATAGAGTTATTATGACGTCACATTTTCATAGTCTACTGAGGTCGATTGCCTACTTACAAAATCTTGATCACTGCGTCATATATTTTGGGAATCGTCACTATTCATGCTCTGACCTCCACTTGACCTGTTTTCGGATGCTTGTGACCGCAACCTTTTTTGAGGTATAGATCCGCCCTGTCGGCAGTTATTTATACAAGAAAACATTTTGCGAAGTCTGGATTTTGTTAAATAATTATTTAAAAAATCAAATGTGTGCAAAATTAGATGTTTGCAAAAAATACTGTACCAGAAATACGTGAATAAATGACACTTATATTATTCCTCTTATAGTTTGTACTAATAATAATACCAGAGCCAATACTAGAATTCTAAAATGTAAAAGAACATTATTTTTTAATAAAAACTATTTAAAATTGGACGTAGTTAATCAAAAACGATTGAAGTTTAAGCTGTATTTGCATATTGATGTAACATTTTTGTGTATTATATTTTTATCCAATAGTATAGAAAACCACTTATATTATCTTATTATAATGTCATTTTAAAAGAACTAACAATATTTATTAAAATGTAAAGGTTAACATATGTTTGGATCCTTTTTGATATATTTAGGTTTTAATTACCTTATTCTTACAAAACAAATCTCAAAAACGATCCAAATCAAGAAATAATAGAATTATTAACTGAAACGCCAAAATTTAATCAAATACTATTTATTAAGAAAGAAAAAAGAAAGCACTAAAAAAGCACCTCAATAGATGGCGACTCTAGCAAAAGTTGATTTTTGCAGGAAACGAATGGACCAAATATAGTAATTTCCGTTTCATTTAGTATCATATTAAAAAACTGAAATTTGCATAGTTCGAAAATTAATTTACTTTTATACATGAAAGAAAACCGGAAAGGTTGTCATGGATAAATTAACAATGTACCGTAGCGACATCTAGTTAGATTTCGGGAACTAACTTTTTTTTAATAGTTCCTCATTAACTACCTACCTCACTCGTGTCATACAAGAGTTTTCGAGTGACTCAAGTAAAAAAAATTCAAATACATATTTAATATGAAAAAAACCCTGGTTGGCTGTATCATTGATACAGCCATATTTTATACGTGGATACGTCTATGTATGAATGGATATATGAGTAATTGATAAAAAATGCCTAATATATTTATATTTATTAAATCAACATTATTGTTGATATTTAAAAAATTCACCAGTTCCAGATACACTAAGATGGGGTTCCATAAAATTCGGTTGAAAAAGATTTTTATGATTTTCGATACCATTTACTTTTGCAGTGCGTTTTTGCTTTTAACAAATGTAGGGTACATTTATTTATTCTACCCATATTTGTTTCTTTGTAAAAATAAACTTATATAAAGAATTAAGTAAATAAAAATAAAAGAAGAAATACTATTCAATTATAATTATGTTTAAGTACCTACAGTAGGTACTTCAACAGATTTTTTTTTATAATATGATTGGTAATGTATATCAAACATGTAACATGCAATTAAAACATAACTACATTAAAACATGCAATACTCTCAAATGCTTAACCAAATAGCATACGATTATGTGCTAATAAAAAGTATTTGATTAAATCATATACGAATATTGTATTCAGTTTTAAAAAGTTTTTTTAATATTTCGCCATTTATTAATATGTCAATTTATAACGAATGAAAAAAATCGTTCGTAGTGTAAAAATTAAGGTGTAATCAAGTTATCGATTATTATATACATTACAAGTAGAACATCCTTAACAGCTTCATGTACGACATGACAGTAAAGATATCGGCGATTTATTGTAAAATATTCATGCTTGTTCATATTGGGGCCATTTTCGACGATGTCCTTTACTTGAATTTGCACGAATTTATTTATTTTTATTTAAAGATTAGCAAATTCACTCAAAAATATTTCACATTTTATTGCTAACGCATATAAAGCTATATTTACGTGTTCGTAGATGGATGTGTACATATGCATACGTATGGCATAAAGCTATTTTTTATTTATTTATTGTATTGTATATTATAATGATACCGTTTGAATATTTTTTCCAGATTTGTCAATTATATATGCCGTAAAATCTGCTTCTTTAAAACGTTTTTCACAAACATAAAAATTTTCACCAACATCCAGGTTAGGAAACACATCACAAATAGCTTTTAACCACTCTTCACGTCTATCAATGTTCTTTGGCACTCTAAAAACTGAACGATTCGCTTCTCCAAAACAACCCGGAATTATGCAACGTTGTGGCATAATTGCATTTATAAATGAATAATTTAAAAAAAATAAACAAATTGAAGACACTAAACACTAAATAAATAAATATTCGTTGCGTTCATTTGTTGAATGAAAAAAGTATTCACTAGCGCCAACAGATGGCGTTAGTGCATATACTCCTGCTGACAGAATACCTGTCCCCTGCAGAACAAGCATAGTTCACTTATACGCCAATAGATGGCGTTAGTGCATATACTCCTGCTCACAGAATGACCCCCTGTAGAACGAAAACATAGACGTATCCACGTCAAAAAAAATTCACAAAAAGTAAAAATAATCAAGAAAATAAAATAATAAGCGGCATAGATTAATAAATTAGAGCGACGAAGTAACATCTTGTGGCAAGAGAATCATCTCGATGCGACGAATTGACTCAATAACTATAGTGCATAGAGACTAGAGTGATATTACTTTTTCACTTGAGTTTGAAAATATTCTCGAGTGATTTGAGTAAAAACAGGACTCGAGTTGAATCCTAATCCACGTCACTGTTCATCTTTAGACCTACAATAGGAACCGACTTTATATGCTTAGCTAAATAGGCACTGAGACCAACTTTGATGCCGTTCCGAAATATCGAATAATGTGGAACGGTTTTCAAATAGCGCATGGAAGTAAAAACAGGACTCGAGTTGCATCCTAATCCACGTCACTGTTCATCTTTAGACCTACAATAGGAACCGACTTTATATGCTTAGCTAAATAGGCACTGAGACCAACTTTGATGCCGTTCCGAAATATCGAATAATATGGAACGGTTTTCAAATAGAGCATTGAATATTACCTATAGTCAATGCTCTTTACCCTACACCAAGCACTATCTAATAAACGACGTACGTAGCAGAGTGGTTCGCATACGCCCGCTGGCCTCCAATATGTCGATTTATGAGGTTCCGGATTCATTTCCGGTATAATATTTATTCAGTTATTTATCTAAGTCACGCTTTCTTAATGATAGCTTTTACTAGCGTTTCGGAATAAGTATATGAAAGTATCGTTTTATTAAAAAAAACCCTGGTTGGCTGTATCATTGATACAGCCATATTTTATGCGTGGATACGTCTATGTATGAATGGATATATGAGTAATTGATAAAAAAAAAAATTTCACCAACATCCAGGTTAGGAAACACATCACGAATAGCTTTTAACCACTCTTCACGTTTATCAATGTTCTTTGGCACTCTAAAAACTGAACGATTCGCTTCTCCAAAACAACCCGGAATTATGCAACGTTGTGGCATAATTGCATTTATAAATGAATAATTCCAAAAAAAAAAATTGAAGACACTAAATAAGTAAATATTCGTTGCGTTCATTTGTTGAATGAAAAAAGTATCCACTAGCGCCAACAGATGGCGTTAGTGCATATACTCCTGCTGACAGAATGCCCGTCCCCCTGCAGAGCAAGCATAGTTCACTTATTCGCCAATAGATGGCGTTAGTGCATATACTCCTGCTCACAAAATGACCCCCCTGTAGAACGAAAACAGACGAATCCACGTCAAAAAAAACCTTCAATGACATTTTGCCCGAGCTCCGGGTTCGCTCCTAATTTTTGCCGTTCCGAGCGATTGCCCAACTTAGGTACTCCTTTAGTTCGGACCCTGCATAAATCTACTGCATTTCATAAATATGCCAACCAACAATGATATATTAACGTCATTGCCAACAAGTTATAACGTAATATTAGTAAAAATTGAAAAACCGACCTTTACTATTATCACAAACAAATAAGTTTTATATAGGTAAAAATTGAGCTTTATATATTATAGATATCAAACTAAAACTTAAGTTACAACTTACAAAAATGGATGAAAAAAACTTATTTTCCTGACACTCGCTAAAGTATGATGGGAGAACAATCTAGATCCCGTAGGGCAACCATGCTTCTCTTTAGTGGAAAGCACAATATCCTTGGTAAGTTCCCCCTCTTTACTTAAATCGGGAAGTAGTTTCTTATTTCTGACACGTATTACCTTGGACATGGTCATTCATTAAAAATTGGAGGTATACCACTCTGAAGATTTTTAAACTTATCGATAAACCGAATTTTATATTAAAGTTATTTATTATCTGAAAGAGAATTTATCTGACTAACCAATGCGTTGTATTAAAACTGTTACCATGGTTACCTTACCAAAGAGTTTTTCAATTTTCACTAAAGCTTAGAATTTTCAAGCCTTTTTTCATTAAAAAATAGTTTGTCTCTGCCAAGTATAAAATAAGTCTAAATATTTATAAGTATACTAACTGTCACGGTCATTATCACTTTAGTAAACTGAATACACAGATTCTAAAAAACGTTAAATTACTTATTTAGCCTGTATAGACTAGATTCCTTAGCCTTTAGCTATACAAAAACACCATACTTTTATTTCCGTTTCCGACGACAATGGTCTGTCTACCTCACTTCCGCTTAGAATTGCCAGCTTAATAAATTAGAAGTTAAATAGGGTATTTGACTTTTTCTGAAAACTATTTTAAATAGTTGTTTTATACATTTTAAACACAATGTCAATATATTTCATAAGAATCTATTCCATTTTCAATTAAATAATTTAATGCTCTATGTAATGGTCTTGATCACGTGGTATTTGTGACGTCACAAAGTGACATTACCTATTTATCAACTATTTATCGACGAAGTGAACAAATCCTATTACAAAAATTTCTTTGCGTATCCCTAATAACACTTATTTATAAATTCCTTAAAATGTGGCATTTTCTTAGCATTATTTTACTAAAATTAAACCTTTTTCGTGTGCAGATTGTAAGAAATAAACTATATTAATATTTAACAAAATGGCGACAAAGCATTAAATTTCTATAATATAAGTGCATAAGCTAGTAATGTATGTGATGTTATTTACTTATATTATTGTTATTTACAAATAAGATCATTTCAAAACTGAAATTTGAAGTTCAATGGAAAATAAACATACAATCATTGAAGTTGCTAATATAAAAAACGTTGTTTCCACACTACCACTAGTGGTTTCTTTAGTAACCAAGATGTAAGTTGGTTGACAAAAATATTTTGGTTATTTTAGTGACCATGAACGTTTGAGTAGTTAAGAAACACGAACAGCTTAAAAAACTATGATGATAACATAATATTAATTTTCAAAAGATATAAATAAAATCAGAATGCATTGTATAAGTTGATACCCGATGGTAGAAAGGGTATAGAGAAAGACCAGGGAGCTTTTAGATCACATGAGTTTATTTACCACCAAAAATATATACTTAATAAAATACAAACAGCACCGACGATAGCTTTACGAAGAGAGTTACTTTCAATATATAATAACAATAGACGCGCATGTGCAGAACAGATTGCCTAAATGTCAATATTTAAATTTAAGTGAATTAAGAATACCTTAAACCAAGAAGGTCTCCCTCAACATAAGTACTTCGATTATTCTACAGACTTTAATAGGCGGGCGATTTGTTGTGACATTTGTTTAAGAGATGGCTTACAGAAAGGGCGACGAAAAGGCACAGAGAATTTTTAATTCGAAGATTTACAAGAATTTTTCGGATCCCATAATGAAAGTTCTGTTTAAAATTGTATAACAACATCATTTCTCAAATCGTTATTAATACAAAACTAAAAATCTTTATCGTGTAGAGAGAGAGACAGAAACGTAATTCAAAAATGTGTCTCAGCCCTAACAAATGAAGAACTTCGATTGGGTAAATCTATTTCGTGTTATGACAACACTGCTTCCGTTTTATGCATTCGCTTCATTCCGGCACCAAATCAGTCGCCGGCCATATTGAGTTTCGTTGTGCTTCTCGATCCAGCTAGATGCGCAGTAATCTGCAAGCTCTAGTAGAAATAAGGTTTTAGATTCTATAATAGTGAGAATAATTAAAGTGATTTACATTGTGAGATAAAAATTAATCAACATGAGTTACGGTAGACCTCCACCGCGAATAGACGGCATGGTGTCTTTGAAGGTGGACAATCTAACGTACCGCACGACGCCTGAAGATTTACGTCGTGTTTTCGAAAGATGTGGCGATGTTGGTGATATTTATATACCCAGAGATCGTTATACACGTGAAAGTAGGGGATTTGCATTCGTCAGGTTTGTATAGATACTAAAAAAATGTTAGACCTAAGACACAAAAATACCACGCTACAACTGTTAACTCTATTTTAGGTTCTACGATCGCCGTGATGCTGAAGAAGCCCTAGATTCGTTGGATGGGCGCATGCTGGACGGCAGGGAATTAAGAGTGCAAATGGCTCGCTATGGTCGTCCTTCTTCGCCATACAGAAGCAGATATGATCGCCGACGGAGGTAATTTGATTAATTTTTGATGCCCTATAAGATAACGCAGGCTTCTGACATTTATATCATCTAATTAGTTTCGGATTTCATTTATGGGTTTTTCACTAATTAAATGACATCTCTTTTGTAAAGGACAAGTGTCGGAGACAACATGCAGAGCTGCTAAAAAAGACTGCATTTAGGGAACCCTATTCATATAGATGTATGATTGCTATTTCTTTTAGCCATTCCCGTTCACGGTCTCGTTCACGTCGTCGATCCAGGTCCCGTTCGCGTTCGAGGAGGCGCTCGTACACACGCAGTCGCTCCCGTTCACGTTCCCGCTCGCGCTCAGACTCCAAGAGCTCTCGGGGCCGTTCTCGCAGCCGTAGCCGCTCCCGATCCCGCTCCAGGCATTGAATGGTTGGGTGAGTAGATTATTCATTTTATTTTAATTAAGAACATCTTCTGATCATATCACAAATATTGTGCGCTCATAAGAGAAAACATTTTGTAATGAAGTGATATAAAACTGATAATTTACTAGTTTTAAAAACTAAAAATAATTATTCTAGAATTAATATAATTAACTATCAATTTTTCACAGAGTTCACAAAAACCTATTTTAGTTAATATATATTGCGGTTTGTGATTAATATGTGATTTTCTAAAACAATGATAAGATAAAGATCATAAAACTTGTATAATGTAATTTATAGATTGACCCTTAGTGGGAAATTTTACTATTTTCCATATACCTCAATACTAACATATAAATTGATGTTTTCCAAAAATTTATGCAATAAATAAACAAACTAAAAGTTATAAAATTATTTCCATGATATTTTGGGGATTATTTCCATAATTAATAAATAATCTATCTTTTGCAAATCTAACATATGTAAGTAATGTAACTCAGTGTTATACCCGCAGCATCAAGCTTCAGTTGATAATAAATGCAAATAAATTATATATGTACTTGATTTAGTATGACTCATTTATGGTAGAACCTTGGGTGTTATTTAGACAAGGTTCCAATGCCTTTGCAATTTATGAGACTTGTACTAAGAAAATATAACATCAGACTATACTCATTCAGGGTCCTAAACTTAAAATTCCTGTTGCATAAAACTTTGCTCATTTTGAAAAATGCTCTTGTGGCCATATATCTATTGAATTCAAATATCTTGCTTCTAAATTATTCAAGATTTCAAATTTAAATCTAAATTATTGACAACGCTTGTTAGGTACAATCACACATCGTATTATTCACTCCAAGTCTGAATAATGGTGGTGTTTCTTAAATGGAAATGTATTGCTGCAATTTGACATTTTGTAATAATCTGACATGCTGTGTATGTTATCGTAGTTAATTGAAACTGTCTAAAGAAAAATTTTAATATTGGTTTTATTTATTGCGTTTCAGGTTGAGAGTACCTATTGTAAGCTGAAGGGCTGTACGACAAGAGCCAGCAGCCTTTGGCCAAGGTACTAAAATTTACCATCTCACTAGCCATCCAAGACCTAACTATGATAAACATAGTGGCAAATATTTGATGTAACAAATTATTTTTATGTTTCTTAGGTTATTGTAATGTAAGATATTCATCATAATGATTTTCCTTTTTTATTTGCATACAATAATATTGTTTAGATTAACGGTTGTCAATGTACTTCAGTTGGAACAAAATTATGATTCATTTATGAACTTTTATTTCTAAATGTAATGTTATACTCACCTTCATATTAACTATTTGAGTTGTTTTAAATTGTAAAATAGTATTGTACACTGTACTATCTTTTGTATGATTAACCAGGAATTGGGTTTAAAACCATGACGGTTGTTAGATGTAATTTCAGGTGTGTTAACATACTAATTTCCAGCAGATCATGTTCACCAAGAGACAATTGGGCTAAATTGGGAAATATTATGTGACAGCCTCAATGATGTGGTAAATAACTTCAAATGGATCATCTGACTGAAGTTATCAATTTTTCATTTTATAATAAAATTACATAGAATCTAAGTTTCTTTTAACAGTTACATCTAGTAGTCTTTTAAGTTTAAATTTTAGGCGTCCGTGCCTTGCTCATGTGGACAGTGATCTGGATACCTAAACCCTTCATCCTGATCCCAACATAAAAATATAAATTGGTTGACTGTTCACAAGAGCTTTCTGCTCTTATATGTTGATGTAATAACTACTAAACTCCTGTTGAGGCAATCAAAATTAATTTTGATGTTGGTATGCTCAGGGCGTGTGGAGTACGCGGGGAGCGAGGCGAAAATGCGGGGAGGGGGGGTTTGCCGTTTGCTGACAACTGCTGTTTTGCTGTTGTTGCCGTACATAAAGTTATGAGTAAAACTTTTATACTTATTGTGAAACCGAGACACGCATAATTTACGTAGGACGCTTGTCAAACATTTAACGTTTTTTGTAAAAGTTAAGCGGGTCTAGATAAAAAAAAAATATAACACGAAAAGTGACTTTTCTGATACAAAAAAAAGGAAACTTGAAAATAGGTAGCAACCAGATAATTAAACAGATTCTTAACTAATGCAAGCGTTTGTTTGGCAGGCCGGTGCTGCTCGCTGGCCTGTTTGCTGTGGCAGTTTCCTGTGCTGATTCCTGTGATTTGCAGATTTCACGCGTCTAGGTTTATTAATGTCGACCAGAAACAGAAACGCCCACACCCTCCCTGGCCCTCCCCCTTTACACTGAACGAGTTCACGAATATCTAACTAGTATTTTGATATGTTCTTATTTTTTGTGTTAGCCTAGATTAGACGTCACTGTATTATTACAGAGTAAGGGTATTTTATTCACCCTATAAACTAACATCAAGAAAGAAGAAACATCGCATCGGGCACTGGATTCTGTGTAGTTTGATTTATGTATTAATAAATAAGTAAAAAAAAAAAAAACACTTGTTTTATTTAAAGTCCTTTACAATGCAAAATGAGTCGTATATCATACCTACTAAGAGGAGAGCAGTGTTACGAAATAAGATGTGATAATATTTCGAAGGACCACAAAAATTACTAGACTAGTAAAATTCACATGAATTTACATAATTGCACTGCACTTACAATAATAAAGATCGTACGTTGTGTTAGTTTATTAAAACATAGTTTATCATTAGACTACAGTGTTATATGATGTGATACTGCCACGTGCATCCTCTGCCGCTGTACCTATCACCTTGCTAAGCAGATGTCAGTGGCAGCGGCCACGGCTAGATCTTAATTAATGAATTCCAATAACTTTGCCGGTTATGGCTGAAGTAATAGTAGAAATCTTTAAAGACGTGGATACACAGGTAGTTTTTCCTTTGAGAATCGAATCCATTGGATAGGTCTATTCCACAACAGTGAGGAAATCGATATGCTGATATGAATGTTCACTAGCAGATTTTTATTTAAGATTAGAACTAAGCAGTGTGTACTCTACACCCAAAATCAAGTGGGCAAAACCGCAGATACAGTTAGTATATCATACTATTTAAACTTCTTGATCATACTGAACCACAATTCGGCAGGATAAATACAGGTAAACCACGCGGGAAAAGCCGCTAGCGGAAAAGATAAATCTATAGTGACCGTAATGAAACTTAAGATGTTATTGGAAACATTATATTTTTCTGCCGACCGTCGTGGCGATGTTTGCACGCCGGTTGCAAGGTATCTCTAGCCTGAGGTCCCGGATCCGATTCCTGGTATAAATTTACTATATCCCTTTCAGACCCAAACTCGAACGAAACAAGATTACAAAAAAAAGAATATATATTTTTTATCAGTGAGCTATCCTTATTTCAATGGTACAGGAGCCTTAACGATTTTCAGTGTTTTTCAGGGATTTTCAGGTGGCGTACGATTGTATCATAATGGTCCCAAGTTATACTATGCTACAATTGTGACGGTCACAATTGTATCTACTTGAGCTCAACTCATGAAACGTCACAATTGTGACAGTCACAATTGATTCAACTGGAGCCTTATATGGAGACTAATGAAATATACATTGATGTGTTTGAACTTTTATTTACTGAAAATAAAACTAAATCAAAATGTTTTCTTATTAATAATAGAACAAAATCAACTTTCACCAAAAAATATCAATGTTTTTAAAACAAATGATATATATTAGGTACTGATTATTAATAGCTCACAACGTAGGTACTATTACTTAATTATAAGAGATCTTAAGTTACAATCAGGCATTGTTATTTAGATTACTATGTATTTAGCTCAATATTAAATTTAGTATCACAACAGCTATAGAATTTTTTCTTTACTCATAATATTGCACTTAAATACTATTATGAAAATTAAAAAAACAGTTCTGGTCTTTGGTCAAACATAGGTACACGTTGCACTTAGAGCAACGAGCGCGAGACCTGCTTGAGCAATTAGTTACCCTGCACTTTCGAGGAGCTTTCAAGGTATCGAAAACTGGCCAATGGTTGTAATGATCGTACCGCTTATCGGTTGAAGGCAGAGCAGCTGGTCTATACTCCGAAGTGCCTGGCATTTCTGCTAACTCCAAATCGTCTATAGATCTCTTCCTTGTGGGCTCTCCCATCAAATATTCTACGATCGACAAACGAAATGAAAGCAAATCGTGAGTTTCCGACTTTCGGAGATTGTTTCGCTCGGCATCCTTTCTATATTCAAACCAGGAGTTAACGATTGCCAGGTCAAACAGGTGAATGATTACTTTAACTGTCCATTTCTTGGTTTTGAACCAGGTTCTGTAATTTTCAATCATTTGATCGCACAAATCAATTCCTCCCATGTTCTCATTGTATTTTTTCACAATAAGTGGACATGTTACATCTTTGTACTCTTTTGTTTTCTTGTCCCATCTTGATACGTTAGTGCTGGGTTCTGCTCCGTGAATAGTAGACACCATCAAAACACTCTTGTTGTCTTTCCATTTCACAAGACATAGCTTTCCATCAGGGCTGCAAATCTCTTCAGATTCTCCTCTCTTCATCTTATTATCAGTTTTGAATGTGTATAATCCTTTTTTGAATCTGTTAGACATTAATGTTCCTGTCCCATCTAGGTTACGGTCAAGCAATTCTCGCATAAGAGGAATGGTGGTAAAATATCGGTCAAAGTATAAACTTCCTCCTGGCAGGGTTCTTGCTAGACGCAATACTACCGAAGGACCCAGTCCAAAAGATTTATCAGGTAAATCAGTCGTTTCTCCTTGATATATTTCAAAATCTAACACCATGCCTTGAGGCGTAGTCACCATAAAGTTTTTCAATCCAGTTGGTCTGGGTTTATTAGGGACGTATTGCCGTTGCTGGCACCTACCTGTAAAGGGTATCATTTGTTCATCTATGGAGAAAGTGGTACTCTCCCGAGGTATTTCTAGACAACGTTTCCTCACTGCGTCAATAACTGGCTGTATTTTCCACAAGCGATTGGCTTGTTTTTCCTCATCAGTCACAGAATTAGGGTCCACAGCATGCAAGTTAACCCTCAGAGTAAAGAAACGTTCGCGAGACTTAGCTGTAGCAATGGGGTCGAATTTAAATTTTTGGTGCCAATACATTTTTATGCGAGGGCATTTAATGCAACTCATCAGGCCATGAATTCCAAAAAATTTCTTTAATTCGCCTGGTGTACATTGAGGTTTCATTTGTTGACCTTTTTGAGTTATATAATACTGTGAGGTAGAAAAAGAAAATTGTTCGAATAACTCTTGACTAAAATACTTTTCGAAGTATACTGCTGGCGATTTAGGCGGTTCAAAATTATCTGGTTGGTCTGTAGGTTGATTTAGAGGCTTACCAGGGAACTTTTTTTTCTTCCATTTACCTTTTCGACCGCTGGGACCGCTGGAACCTGGCTGCTGAGTTAGGATATATAGCGGTATGTCGTCCTCGGAATCACTTGAGTCCTTTTCATCACTACTAAAATGGGCTTCATCTTCCTCATCTTCGAACACATCTTCCAAATCTGATTGCTCCAACAAAGCAATAATTGCCGCGTCGTCCATATTGAACTAAGTACCTACTTCGGCCCGTCTTGACACAATTGTGACTGTTAACTTTGACCCACCGTTTTACTTGTGAAAAACTGAAATATCAATCAAAAGTTACAAATAATACGTAAACTGATGTGTTAAGTAATGATACAAATAACACCTAGTACATAATTAGAGTTAGCATAAAAATCACAATTACTTACGTGCGACGTGGTCTCGAACGACGGCGGCGACGAAATGAACGAGTCACGACATGCACACCGCGAGCTTTGTACCTGTCTTTTTCGCACCTATAGAAAATGTGTGATGCGTACAATCGTGCGAGCCTGGGCCCGTTCATATAAAATATGATTATGTGTGAAAAAAACTGTACTAAACTAACGTCACAATCGTGTTTGCGGGTTCTGAAAGGGATATAGAGATCTGCCCTGCGATTCTGTAAAATTTCAGTCTCAAATTCGAATTTCTATTGATTCCATTTTTTTATAAAAACACGAAACAAAATTGATTGAATATACGTTTCTCAGATATTTTATTCCTGTGTCATTTCGAAACTCACTTCACTTATACCACGAAACGTTACCAAATTGAGCGGATGGCGCTTTTTGGAAGTCTTTTGGTCTGACTAGTGGCAGACTAACCCCATTGAGCCCTGGGTACCTCTCCCCCCTCCCTCCCCTTATGGTATAGATTGTACTTATTTGTCTACTGGGCGTCCAACCCAAATTAACAATGTGATCAAGAGAATTTGGAGGCTATCTGCCAACTTTCGCCCTTCCCCCATCCTTACGGTGAGTTGCACAAACGTCCATTAAGGTTTAATGGCGTCATTAAGCTCCAATGAATGTCAAATTTGTATGGGTAATGTCGCTTTAAACTAATGATAATTTTAATGGACGTTTGTGCAACTGGCTGTTGGTGTACCAGGTATAAATAAAATAAAGCTCACTTTTAATTCTATATTAAGATTTAATATCAAAATTAACAACTAATAATCCATTCTTTGCATTTCCCATTTTGAACCATCTACCTGATTTATGTTCCTGACCTACAGCTGCATAAAGTTGTGCTCCATCACTGGTGAACTGCATACAATTTATAAAGCCTTGAACTGCTATACTAAATAATGGCGTTATTTTCCTATATGCATCACCAACTTTCCACAATTTAATATTATTATCATAGGAACCTGAAGCAAAGACATCAGAATTCAATAATGTCGCTATACTGGTAATCCATCGAGGTGTATCATTTTCAGAGCCATGCGCTTCCAAAACAGTACACAATGGTTTCTTTTTCAATACACTCCAAACACATAACGACCCATTGTCACTGCCAGACACAAAATGTTCTTCATCCAAAAGTTTGACTTCATCCAAGCTCCCTATTGGTCCATTGAAAATCAACTGTGACTCTTCCACTATCTTCCATATACGTACAGTACAGTCACGGCCGCCCGCTGTGATGGCTCTTTCTCTTGATAGTGCATCAATTGATGTGATCGGTGATTGGTGACCAAATAGAGTTTCTACATATGACATTTCATTCAAAGACCAAATTTTTATTGATCTATCTTTACTAGCAGAATATAAATCATGTGTATTTTTTCTAAAAATTAACCCCGTTACAGAATCTTTGTGTCCTTTGAATGTGTATATATGCTTGAGTGTAACAGGGTCCCAGACTTGAATGAAAGATGACTGGTCAGCACTAGCCATGTATTTAGAATCTGTTGATAAAGAAATTGACGTAACACTGCCCTTAATTAAATGTGCATGAGTTTTATATGTTAGGCAGCCTAATTTTTTGTTTTCTTTCAGTCCCCATTTTATTATAGTGCCACATTTACTTCCGGAAAATGCAATTTGACAGTCACTACTCACACAAACACATGTTAAGGATAAACGATGGTCCTTAACACGAATAAGTCTGTAGTCTTTATCAGTTGGTATAATAAAATTATCTGCTGCTTGTACTTTTAACTTCCCTTTTTGCTCAAGGTAATCTCTCTGAAGCCGTTTTTCAACAGCGTCATCGGTCTCTTTTAGTTCTGCCCTTTTCGCTTCTTCCTTCTCAATTTCCTCCAAATATTTCTTAGCTAAGCGTAGCTTCTTTTGTTCAGCTGTCTCTTGGTCACTTTCTGAATCCTCAGCTTCAGAAAACTTTTTTAAATCGAGATCACTTTCAGAAGAATGATGTCCATTTTCTAGGTTAGAATTAGTTCGCTTAGGTTTCTTTTTAATTTTCTCGCCTTTTCTTTTACGAACTTGTCTCGACTTTCCCTTTAGGAAAAAAGTAGACATTTCGCGAAATATCGGAACGGTACTTTTGAAGAACTTTGGAAAAAAACCACGGCAAATTTAAAACTTTACCACACAGCAATACAGCAACTCCTCTCACGTTGGTTTGTATGACATTGACATCTGACATTTGTTGACAACAAACTTCAAAGTAGGGATACAAATCTAAATCAATCTTTTTTTAAGATCATGAATCGATTTTAAAAAATTGCTGCACGATAATTCGAGCTACAGATGTAATGTGTATGCCTGGAAGACCATATGAAAACGTCAAATTGACAAAAACTAACAATTTTATAAAATAGCTTATGGCCGATTCACTTGACATTGGCAGAATTGTGCGAAATGCGCAGATAAGCCATTAATAAAAGAAGAAGAAGCTTTTTGCCAGTGGCTTCATCCACGTGGTCCCTATGGATCTGTTTATTTTGAAATCAATGACGAAGTATTTAAAAAAAAATTGTGTCCAAAATCAAACTAGATGTCGCTACGGTATACTCTTAATTTCTCCCTGACAACCCTTCCGGTTTTCTTTCTAAAAATAAAAGTAAATTACTTTTCAAAACTCAATAAACAACTCATATTCTATTTGTACATTTTCGTATTTGTATTGATATTGTAGTTTCGAATTATGAAAATTTCATACGGTTACTATAGAACCGTTATAATTCGAAATCGAAGTTCATCTTTCTATTTCCCAGGGTCCCAGGATTATTGCATATGGAAACCGTACGTTGACAGACTGTGAACGAAGATATAGCCAAACTGAAAAAGAGGCTCTAGCCTTGGTTTCGGCTATTGAACACTTCAATGTATTTTTATTTAGGAAAGAGTTCGACCTTATCACGGCCATAAACCCTTGGAGGTTTTATTTGAAGCTAAACCAAAACCATGCGCTAGACAATGAGCGATGGGTATTGAGGCTACAGGCTTACCGATACAATAATAAGTATAGGCCTAGTAAATCTAATATAGCTGATCCGTTGTCGCGTTTGTGTAAAAATGTAAATCTAGAAATACTCAAAGTGAAAAAAGGCATTTTTAATAATGAGTGGGATGATAGTATAAAAGGATATAAAATATTTCAAAATGAATTGTGTTTTTTTGATAACGTGCTCTTAAGGGGTAACAGGCTAGTCATACCGGGTAATCTTCGAAAGAGTGTTTTAGATGCAGCGCCCGAAGGACACCCAGGGATCGTAGCGATGAAGGGTCGGCTAAGGTGCAAAGTATGGTGGCCAAGAATCGATAGAGATGCCGAGACCTTGATGAAAAGTTGTAAGGGCTGTACATTGGTCGGGTTGCCGAATCCCCCTACACCTATGAAACGTCACGAGCTGCCGGAAGCACCTTGGGTTGATGTTGCCATGGACTTGCTTGGTCCGTTACCTAGTAGGGAATATCTTTTAGTAGTAGTGGACTATTACAGCCGCTACAAAGAGATAAAAATTACAAAAAATATTACCACCATTGTTATTATTAGATAATTAAACGAAATGTTCAGCCGATTGGGTTATCCTTCTTCAATCACAGCCGACAATGGACGGCAGTTTGTAAGCGACGAATTTAAAACATTCTGTAAGAAGTGTAACATACTACTATTTAATACTATCCCTTACTGGCCTCAGCAAAATGGTGAGGTAGAGAGGCAAAACTGTGATATATTAAAGCGCTTAAAGATTGGAAAACTCGAAAAGAAAGACTCACAAGAGTGTTTAAATGAATACCTCATGATGTACAATTCAACACCGCATTCGGTAACGGGAAAAACGCCAACGGAATTATTTTTCAGAAGACTAAACAGAGACAAAATCCCAACATTGCAAGACATAAGTAACAAAGAAGACGACACAGATACTTATATCTACAAGGACCAAGAACGAAAGGAAAAAGGAAAGGAATATGGAGATAAAAGGAGGAGAGCAAAGGATTCAGATTTGATTGAAGGAGACAAAGTGTATGTAAAAGCAAATAACAGGATAAATAAGCTTACCTTAAACTATAACCCAACACCACATGTTGTGGAGAAGACAAACAATGGAGACGTTACCATCAGAAATGATGAAACTGGACAATCCTTAAGGAGAAATATATTGCACTTAAAAAGAGTAGAAGGGCAATCGAAAGCTATAAGTGAAGATCTAGAAGGTGAAACAGAAGACCCTGAAGTTAATGAGAAATATTAAGTACTACAATTTAATTGCTTGTGTTTACTTATTAAAAATATTTAATTTAGAATGTGATTCAAATGTTTACCTATCTGCAAATTAATAATAAAGTTTTTAATAAGAAAGAGATGTAGTGTTTGTGAGCTAAACCTATAGCAATAGCTATATACACTGTCTCGTGCTTACAGTGTGGGGAGGGGCGTGTGGCAGGTACCGCGCGAGCCACGGGTGTGAGTGGACACGCCGCCTGCGCACATTGTGAGTTGTCGAGCCAGTGCATTGAGTGTAGGACAGGGTGTACCACAGAATTGTTAATGATATTTTTTACCCCCCAAGAAGACACAATTACAAGCAGTTACATCTGTGAATTATAAATTCTGCATTCCTCTCGATTATATAATACAGTGATTCCCTAAGTGGTTGGGTTGATCCCCAGAGATCCCCGAGGGATTCAACGGAGGTCTACATACTCACCCGCGACGCCAATTTCCATCGTTAGATCTTCTCATTTTGGACAAATTTTGGGAATATGGTAAAAATATAGCAGCAGGGCATATTATGGTAAAAATGGTAAAATATTATAATGGTAAAAATGGTATATTATGGTAAAAATATACCCACTGAAACCAGTATTTTTTTTAAATGGTCTACGACAAACAATAGTTTGGGAACCTCTGATATAATAGAACAGCGACCCAGGTGACCTTATATTTTTAACCCAATCGCCTTACGAGTGGGTCATGAATCTTGATCAACACGGCTCTTGTTCCGATAACTAGCTTATTATATACTAGCAAGAATAGTTCAAAGCTGTCTATGGGTAGAAATTAATTTTAATTTCATAATTTCCTAATTAAAGCTTTAAGTAAGCACAAATATACATGCATTGTTTAAAGAATAAAAAAAATATCAATCATTTTTGACTATCAACATTACTAACAATTGTAGGTTATGAAATTTAAAAATAATAAAGTATGTTTTATTCAGAAGTTGTATTTTAATTTTTTTAATATTAAACAACATCACATACATTGCTCAGATTCCAAGATGCATAGCTAAAGCCCCTGTAATATGGAGTATCCGAGACAAAGAAGGTACCACAACACCCAGATGCTAAATTATGATAAATAAAAAACTTAAATATTTGAAAACATAAATCAAAGAAAAGAGAAAATGGGGCACCCGAATAACTTCTGCTTCAGGTACCCCAATTTTTCTCCTATGGATAGTGACGAAAAAAGACAATGTTCTATAAGATACAGGATGGATTCATGGGTGTTTATCTATCACTAAGTCTCATCCTTTGTTCACTTACACTAACATTTATTTTATTATTAAATACATTAAAACATGATCTTCCCTTTAAATGTACCTTGGTGACATATACTAGAGAACTATTTTTAATATTAATATTTAAAGTATTAAGATTAGATTGTGTGGAGCATCAATTTCATTTAATTAAGATTGTTAATTGTCATAAATTGTATTACATAAAAAAACATCACATTTATTTTCTGAACTAAAATTGTATAAACAAAACAGTTATTCATAAACAAAATAATAAATAAATCACATGTCTAATTTATTCTAACCATATTTTTTTCTCAACATTTGAAATTGTTTCAGACATTTTCATAATCTAAGCTTGCAAGCTCTACAAGTTAAGTCAGTCAGATATTTTTTACTCTTACTTAAGATAGTACAAGTCACTTCGTATTTCTCAGAGGAATCAAAATAACAGTCATAAATCACCTTCATTTTTAACAAGATGGAAAGGGCCTCCAATCTGAGGTTTATTTTATTATGTTCATCCTACAATAGTATTGGCTCCTCTTAGTTGTAGATATCCAGCTGTTATATCCATTGGTAAACTACGCACAGTTGTAAATTCTTCTACATTACTATAATAGAGCTTAGAGTGTCTGTCCATGTATGGTGCTGGTAAGCCGGATATATCAGAATACTTCTTTGTAGGTTTGAAAGTTGGTGGGGCGTTTATTGAATAATCTGTAATAATATGGAGTTAACAAAATATATTCTACAAAAAATGGTAAATTATAAACTTCATTATACTTTCGTTTACACATACATAGTACGGCATTATTATGCCAAGGTAAAGCCCTTTCGGCTGTTAAAATTTGTTTCAAAGATCTCCACATACGTTTTTTACAACCACTTTTTACTAAAAACATATTTTCCTTTTTAAAACAATAACTTTTAGCAAATTCTACTGACATGACGGACGACTATTTCTAAATTATTTTTGGTTTTCGACTCAGTTTTCAAACAACACACAGACTAAGATGAAGATACCCGCTACGTATAAACCACAGTATAAACCACTGATTATAACCAAACATCGTTCCTTTACACGTAACATAATAAACAACTTAAACTTACGATTAAAATTAATTTGAAAGTTAAATGTTATAAGAAACATAAAACGATGTCATATTTATTAATTTTCGATACTCAATTTACTTTTACTACGTCAGAGACAAAATTTTAATGAATATCATAAACAAAATCCAAACATCGCGAGTGACATCTAGTATGATTTCAAGAACTATTTTTTATTTTTTAAATACTTCCTCATTATATTATATCGTTGCCAATCATTGCATACATATCTATGATACAAATAGTCTGTGATCCATATCAATTATCAATGTGCTTTGCTTGTAGTGGAGGTTAAGTTTTTTAAGAAAAATGGATATTGTTAACGAAATTTTGGAGCGAGAGCAAAAAAAAGCGGAAAAGTACAAACCAATTACGGTAGAAAAGCATTTAGACTTAGAATTTGATGTCGGTAGCTTGCTTGCTTTTGATACAAATGATCTAGATACTAAGTCGTTGCAGTAAGTATTGTTTCGGATACTTTTCTTTCAAAATGCCTGGCGTATTTATTACATTTGCTTGTAATAAACGATATTTATTTACAGCTCCCAAAAGGACGTTTATTTACACACATTATCACGAGATAACGCGCAGTTATTATTGAACAAAGTATGGGAGCTTCCTACAGAGAGGATCGACGAAGCGATTGTAGTTCGTCTACCACCGCCAACAACCGTTTTACCGCGAGCGAAGCCAGTGCCCAAGCCCAAACCTTTAACGAAATGGCAAGAGTTTGCTAAAGCTAAAGGAATTACAAAGAAAAAGAAAGATAAATCACAGTGGGATGAACAGTTACAGAAATGGGTGCCACTCTATGGGTATGTCACATTATTATTCTATGCTATTCTCTTGAAAAACCTTTACTGCTATCACTAATCCCATTACACACATCCAGTCAACTAGTCAACTGGAGAGCTAAAGAAGATTAAAAATCTGTTAGGATCTCAAATACAATTATTTAATTCCTTTCAATTAAATAATAAACTTAACATTATATTACAGATTCCGAAAAGCTGCAGCAGAAAAAGAGAAGAACTGGTTGATAGAAGTGCCACAGAATGTAGATCCAATGACAGATATGTATGAAAAGAAAGCCTCTGAGAAAACAGAAAAAGTAGCAAAGAATGAATTGCAACGATTGAAAAATATTGCTAGAGCCAGAAAAGTAAAGATACCTCGAGTCGGTATTCCAATTACTTCTGATAAGGCATCTGCAACACAGGTATATAAATGGCTATGTAATTTTAATGTTATATATGTTATGTATTTTTCATGTTATTTAATAGGTGCTAGGTCTATTATAAATTAATAAATAACAATCATATATTTTTTATTGTACACGAAGCCTGTAGCCTTAAACAAATGATAAAATTGGTAATTGTAAAATATAAAAAACATTGTTATTTCACAATTAAATTAAACAATTGATTATTTTTAGTTAGCTACTGCAGCAACTGTTGCTAAGGCTTCCACAGCTTCTCTTGGTAAATTCCAAGACAAACTTCCTAAGGAAAAAGAAGCTAGAGGCAAAGGAATACATGAAATCATTCCTGGCAAAGAAAGGAAACGTAAAGCACCTTTACCAACACCACAAGCTGAAAGAGAAAATAACTTAAACCTCCTTGACAGTATACTCAATAAAAGACCTAAAATTGACATGGATAGAGCGGTCTCAAAGTATATACATGATGAACAAGTACAGTAAGTGTTTTTCTAATCTATTAATATTTTGAAGGAAGACTACAGTAAAAAAATGTAAATGTTGATATTAAGATTTTTGACTTTATGTATGACACTCCATCACCCATGGGACCTTCTGATAGATCAGTCAAACTCATGGGCTCTTGGATAAGACTTGTGACAGACACTACATCAAAGTTTTAAAATCAAAATTATTCTTGATTTAAATTATTGTATAATTTTACATTCACTTATATTAAGTAAAATATCTGAAAATTCATTAAAAAAAAATTGCAGGAGATCTGAAGAAAAGAAAAACTTAAAACCATCTAAAGGGAGATTTAAAGGCAAAGGTAAAGGAAATGTGACAAACTTCTCTGCGAAAAAGCCTAAGGCTGGTAGAGGACAAAGAAATCCTAGTAAAAAGAATCCAGGTAGGAAGCGGAGGTAATACATATATTGTGAAATATTTCAACAATTATTAAAAATATACTTTAATTGATATAGTGTTTCATTAATATATATTTCAAACGTACGTCAGTCTGTCACACATATAACCTCCAATAGATACCACATGATGATTATTTTGTTAGAAAAATAAAGATGCTAATCTAAGTTGTTAAACCACTAAATAATTTACACACTGAGACTAAATGCTAAAAAAAATTAGCATGTTAATAATTAATTCGTTAATTCATTAACGCGCTAAGTACATGATAAAAAGGGTGCTAAACAAACGCATTAAATCAAGCAGTACACTAAATCTCGTAGCACGTTATTTATTACGTAAAAGTAAATGAACTATGTACATTTGTGATCTACGCGTAATTCAATTTTACATCCCTTCACTAAAATTTGTCCTTATATTTATAAACTTATTACGAGGGTCAAACTGAAAGTTCTTAGAACTGGCCACTTATAAACAATATAATAAAAAAATAATTCTAAAATTTGAAAATATAACTCTTTGCCAATATTACTGAGTATATATTTCATTCATTTGTCATTTGTTTTACGATTTGGCGGCAAATTGAAAATTGTCTGTGTCACGTCATCATGAATTTAACACGACAAAATTTTCGTGCAATGATTTTTTATGACTGTCTTGATCTTCTGTGGTTGCTTGTAGCTAATATTTTGTCGAAATTCAGTGACGTACCATTACCGCCCAACGTAGCTCCGAAAATTTTACCTCTTTTAAATTTATTAACCAAAAATGGCTCCTCTGAATATAATTCAGTGGAACAGCAATAGTATTCGTTCTAAAAAGCATGAAATCCAATATTTTATATATAAGTACTCTCCTCTTATTTTTGCCATTTCGGAGACGTGGCTTCCTAGGAATATTTCTTTCAATATTCCTGGATATCTATGTCTGCGCGATGACTAGGGATATTCGATATACATCGATGCATCGAATTCACTCGATGTTTACATGTCGATACATCGAATCGATTCGATGTTTTGAAAGCTATTAATTTCTTCGATGTATCGATGTATTTCATGAAACATCGAATAAACTGTAACTAGCTAACTACTGATTAGGTATATTATAATGATTCAATTCAATTGCTTTATTTTAGAGGACAAAAATAAAACCTATTGGTGGCAATGGTGGCGCTAGTAAGCGGTTCTTCTTCTGTTTATAGCGACGAACTCATGTTTTACCGCTAAGGGTACATTATTCTAGGTTCCGCCAAAGTCACGTGGGTAGCTTTTACTACTTTACATGGCAAGCATAGATGCAAAAATAATTTTGATTAAAATTTTTATTGACGGAATCTAGAAATTAACGTTGGTAACACTGCGTCAGTACATCACAATGACAAAGAATTTAAAAAAAGTTTTTGACAGCATCAACCGTTGGTGTTGTTGATTGTGTGTGTCCCGATAATTTGATGAGCTTTAAGTGAAAACATTTAATTACATTTGGATTTAACTGTGTCGTACATTAGCAATTTGCATACCTTACAGAATATTAGTGCAGAATACCTTGCTGCTAGTGCAGTACAAGTACTGATTATCTAGCAGTACTTGTACTGCACTAGCAGCAAGGTTATTCCACTTATTTTAAAAGTACAAATTCTTCAGCTCGAGGATTCTCTTGGAAAAGATCTGAAATGGCTAGTCTTAAAAGAGATTGCCAAAAGAATGGGTGTTATAGAGAATGTGACCCCTCTCGCCATAGCTACAGTATTAGACCCAAGATTCAAGAAAATGCATTTCACAAATCCTCTTGCTTGCTCTTCAGCTGTTGCAAAAGTCAAAGACTTATTGAAAACTATAGCACAAAATGAGGTAGAATTAGATTCTTTGGATAATTCTGAGAAACCTGAAGATAACTTTTGTTTATGGGAATTAGTCCGTAAGAACTGGAAAACGTCGACGGCTCTAGTTCTGGCGAGCTATCTATATATTTACGTAGTCCAGTAGGAAGACTCAATGAAAACCCATTACAGATATGGAATGATCTTAAAATTCAGCTACCCAAACTACATATAATCGCTTACAAGTACCTCACCATGGTGGGGACTTCAGTACCAGCTGAACGTTTATTCTCAAAAGCTGCACAAACAGTTAATCAACAACGTAATCGACTAAACGGCTGCCGCTTAAATAAACTTCTGTTTTTGCAAAGTCTTCCAAAAGAACACTGGAAATATTTCCAGTATTCCATTGGGATTTTTATTTTCGCTGATTTTTTTAAAGTCTTTTCAGTCGCCTCTTCTCGTAATAGGTCTACAAATGAGACCCCTGTCACATTATATAAATAGATATATTTTCGATGTACCGAGGTCCTACGACTATTGAGTAAGTGTTAGTATGATAAGGTTCCACAGTGTATACATAATTCATAGACTTGACTGTACTTTTTGTAATAAAAATAAGGGATATTTTCACACTTACCTTTGGTAATCATTTTTTTTAAACTCTTAAAAAAGTACTCGATTTTAGAAAAACATCGATGTTTTAAACCGATGTATCGAAAAGTATCGATGCATAGTCGCGATGTATTGCATCGAAAAAAACATCGATGTATTTTCTTAACGGACACCCCTAGCGATGACAGAGATGATGGTTATGCAGGAAGTGCTCTCATTATTTGTAACTCCCTACTATTTACTCAAGTCCCACTTCCTGTTCATAATAGGGATCTAATTAATGCTGTTGCTGTTAGAATAAATAATATTTCTTTTCTTTCGTTATATATCCCACACCCAAATGTATCTGTTTTATTGGAACTCAGGGTAATTATTTCTGCTTTACCACCGCCTGTGCTTATTTTGGGTGATTTCAATGCTCATCATGAGTCATGGGGCTCCTATCACTCCGATACCTTTGGCAGTTTAATTATTGATTTATTAGATGAGCTGGACTTATGTGTTTTGAACAATGGTAGACCTACAAGGAGAAACTCCCCATCACAGAACCAGAGTGCAGTTGACTTATCCATTTGCTCTTCGCGTCTATCTTCCCTTTTTTTATGGGATGTTTTAAGTAGTACCTTTGGTAGTGATCACTTTCCCATTCTTTTAACTTTACCTGACCGTACGCTCACAACATTCAGTAGTACTCCCCTTTTGAAATTTGATTTAAATAAAGCTGATTGGACATGTTTTTCTTTAGAAGTTAAAAATAAATTAAATTCATTACCTGAGATTTCCAATGCAAGTTGTTTGACTGCATATGAAGCCTTCACGGAAACTCTTCTCAGTTCTGCCAATTCTCATATTCCCACGAAATCAACGATACGTAAAAGAAATTCTCCACCATGGTGGGATTCCGAATGCACAGACATTATCCGTAAGAGAAAGGAAGCAGAGAAGAAATACAATCTGTCTATGACTGAAGAAAACTTCTCTCAGTACCAACAAATAGCTGTTCACTCCAAAAAATTTTTATCTCAAAAAAAGAAACTTGGTTGGACTAGGTTTTGCGAAAGCATGTCTCCTCGCACTTCCGCAGGCATGGTTTGGAGACAAATGAATCGATTTCGTGGTTCTATGAGGTCAAAATCTGTGTCAGCTAACGATCCATCAGGATGGGTTACCGCATTTGCTGATAAACTCGCTCCCTCGTTTGTTCCGAACTATGACTATCTTCCTATAAAAACATATGACATCATCCCATCTGTTGGTAATTTAGATAATCCTTTCACCTTGCGGGAACTTGACTTGGCACTTGGAGGTCTTAGAGATACTGCCCCCGGTATAGATGGTATTCCATATTCGTTTCTTGTTAAGTCGAGGGAAGAAACCAAACTATATTATTTGAAATTAGTTAATACCTTTTACCATTTAGGTATCATCCCTGAATCCTGGAATAAGCAACTAGTTATCCCTCTGCTTAAACCTGGCAAAGACCCTTTGGACTATAATTCTTATAGGCCCATTGCGTTATCGTCCACCCTTTTCAAAGTGTCAGAACATATGATCAGGAATCGTCTAGAGTGGTTTTTTGAGAGTCAAGGTCTTTTGGCTAAATCTCAGTTTGGTTTTCGAAAGGGTTTCAGCACTCTGGATAATTTAAGTATACTTACGACTGATATTCGTATAGCTTTTAAGAAAAAGCAATATGTAGTTGCTGCGTTTTTAGATATAGCAGGCGCCTATGATAATGTCCTTCTTCCAATTCTCAGACGTAAATTGATTCAGTTGAGTGTTCCTGAGAAGTTGGTTCGATTCATAGTTAATTCTATTTCAGCTAGATCTATTGAAATCAAATGTCATGGAGCGCCTTCTATAGTCAGGTCTGTTTGGTATGGTCTACCTCAAGGGTCGGTTTTGAGTCCCCTGCTATATAGTATCTATACTTATGACCTAGAGAGCGTTGTAGATTCATTCTGTCAAGTCTTACAGTATGCAGATGACGTAGCCCTCTATATAAGATCGAATTCAATCGAGGAAGCTTGCTTTCGCCTCAATACTGCGTTAAGTTATCTTGGTGATTGGCTAATGGATCACGGCTTGTCACTATCAGTTTCTAAATGCTGCAGTATAGTGTTTACCAGAAAGCGTAACATTCCTACAGCTCAAATAGTTTTTCAAGATGTCCCTATTCCCATGAATAACCAAGTAAAATTTTTAGGCGTTATTCTAGATTCTAAATTATCAGGAACTCCTCATTTCCATAGTGTTGTAAATAAATGCGAGAAAGGGGTCAATGTTCTCCGTGCTCTTTCGGGTGTATGGTGGGGTGCTCATCCATTCACTCAAAAATTAATATATAATGCCCTAGTCCGCTGTCATTTCGATTATGGCTCCTTTCTTTTAGACCCATGTAATAAGTTGCCACTTGATAAAATTTCTAAAGTTCAATCTAAATGCTTGCGGATTATTATAGGTGCCATGAAATCGTCTCCTATCAATAGTCTCCAGATCGAATGCGTTGATCCCCCTTTGTATCTGCGTAGGCAATTTTTGAGTGATCGATTTTTCCTTAAAGTTATACAACGTGCATCCCATCCTTTACTTAAAAAATTAGAAATATTGTTGAAAGTTTCTAG